TGATGCAACAAAATAAATATTTATGCGAAATATATTCATGTAAAATATTTACATATATATGTATATATTAGTAATTAAATACAAATATATTATATATATATATATATATATATTATATATTATTATATGTATACATATATATAATTATATAATTTTATTATTTATATTGTATATACATATATATAAATAATAATAAATAATTAATAATTTAATAATCTTACTAATATATATAAATATACCTAAATTATGAGAAATTTAATATTTATTTTTTAACTATTCAAATTTATAATTTATAGTTCTTGATATATTTAATATATTACGTCTAGATTTCTAACGCAAAACTTATAAGAATAATAAATTAGGGAATATTTTTTATATGCAGAATTATTTTATATAAATTTCCTGTCTGTTTAATTTAGTAAGCAACATCAAAGGGCGATTGAATGCGGACGGATAAAAATGATTTTCCGCATCCTTTCATTAGAATCCTTTAGTGTTCGAGATATTTTTTTGCATCCTTTGCATCACTGATGACTTAATTTTCCCCACGTAGGATAGTTCCTTCTTGGCACAGGTATTTGCCAATGCCTATCGCAATGCGAATCACGTTTACCTTGTAACACGTGATCGTGATACGAATTTTTTTGCGTTACATAATCTGTTTTCCGCTCGTTCGTCGCGACTATATCGTGATTAAAATTATCTTAAGACCAACCAATCCGATAATGGATTTTCACGATGGTATCGGATGGAAAAAGGGAGAAGAATATCGCGAACGCGAGGATTTTTTAATGCGACGCTGAAGATGATCGGTTATTTCTTCTATCGTAGATCGATCGGAAATTTATGCCGAACTTGATTGAAAAGAGTTGAAACGAAAATGAGATATATCTCTCGTAGGAAATATAATTTCCGGACTATATAATTGTTTGTGATTTGATGTATATAACAGATCGCAAAATTATTTTTTTTTTCTGGAAAAAAATATAATAATAATTTTCGCAAGATATCGTAAGCCTGTTTTCTTCCGAAAAAGTTAAAATAGCTCAGAAATATTCCGAGGGACACACATCGAGCGAAAAGAAAAGGAAACAGATTTCAATTACGATTTTCTTCGGAAATTTGCTGAGAATGAATTATTAGAGACGATAAAATTATATTGAAAGAAATATTTCTATGAAAAAAATTATCGGATATATTATATAAAATTCATTTTTTTTTCCGATGAATGGCATTGAGAAAATATTTATGCATTATAATCATCTTACGTCCCTCTAATTATTTCTTAAAAATTAACTTAAAAGTTGCATAACTCTCGAAGAAAGAGACGATTCTATCTATATTTTAATATTCATCACGATTCACGTTTTATCATCGTTCCAGAGATAGTACGTTTAATCCCTGCGTATTGTAGATTTCTCCTTTAAAAGGGAAACTTCTTTGAGAAAGAAAAATCGCCTTAGGGGATCCGTAGGACAATTCTTACTCAGCTTTCAACACAATCAGCTGGGCAACAACAGCTTTCAGTGGTTTTCCGCGAACGTCGAAACGCGGCGGTCATAAATCAAATTCGCGACTGTATATTAAGGTGAAAATACGATTCTACGTGAACGAATATGTGGGGATATATTGACTCTGTAGATAAAATCGGCCAGGAAGCGATTAATCGTTTCGAATCTCGTTTGTAATCGCCGAGAAATCAATTTGCCACTTTTATTTTTTATTGTATTGAACATTTACCGCGAATAAATTTGAGTTATCGCGAAAAATAGATGTATTGATTTTTGTTCGAATTAAGATGGCTAACCCGTACACGAAATTATCGGAGACGTTTAACACTATACTTTGGAGTAATGTAACTTTTTTTTTTTTACGGCAATTAGTTTCGTAACGTCGTAAAACGACAACGAAACAATTCCTTCCCCACGGAGAGTTTAATTCCAAACCCCGATGTAACGATTACGAATCTCGTCTTTCGTTGATTTTATTAAATGGTCTCGTTTTCTTTTTCCCTTTCATTTATTTTGATCACCCTTTTCCGCTAATGATAAATTTGATACGAGTTAGTTTCTTAGTTTTCTTCGAATTCTTAGTCTTCTACACCGTGTATTATAATTACTAAACTTTCAATGTTGAATATGGATGTTTAATACTCCATATTGTAATTAGAACTCGAGTTTTAATCCTGATGATGAGAAAATGGAAATATTAAAGATTTAATAAATAATATTTACTTTCTTGTTTAAATGTCAAAATTGGTAATTTATATATTCAATTATTTTAAAGACTTATAATATTCACTCTAAAGAATTAATATTCAAAATTTCTTATTGCTAATTTTTGATATTGAGTACACTATATGTTTTTAATATCGTACACTTCATTCTTAAAAATTTTTTAAAGGCTAGATTATTGGAGACAAACATTAATTTTCACTCATCAAAATTATTTATTTAATCATTTGTACATATAAAAAATCCAAATAAAAATATCTCAGAAAAATATTAATTCCGCAAAAATACAAAATTATTTAGATCAAAATAAATGTTAAAATTATATATTTTTTAAATATCAATAGTGGGTGTAATACGATGTTAGGCAAATATTTATCAGAAAAAAAATGCTGAACAAAAATACAAAAATCTCTTAACTTTTATTAATAAAATCAGCTGCGGATATATGTCAAAAAAAATATAATCGGGCTCAATTCCCTTATTTATATATTTTTTAAGTATATAATTTTTACATTAAATAACTTCTTTGCGATCATTTCGCGAATCGTTTTCGACTGCTAAAACCATTATGAATAATGTAGCTGAAACGTTATGAATTTATATTCGTCATATCGCGATTGGAATCGCTTATCGACTAAACAGCAGAGCCTGTCTTCGATAAAACGTAATATTTTATAAATCTTTATATAAACTTGTAACGTGTATAATTCGGTAAATTAGAAATTTGCATGATGAAAAATTAAGCACATAAATTATAAAATGAAATAAAATAGCAGAGACTGCACGAACGCGAGAATAAGTTATTTTGTCATTTAAAATTTATTTTGCTCGTTTGTAACACATTTTTTCTTTATCCTTGACTGCAGTTTTTTTGTATCCAACATGCACTCTCTTTATTTTGCCAACTTGTGTTTCACTTTTTTTTTGCGCGCACCGAATTTAAGATAAAATAAATAATCATTTATTAGCGATTTTTGAACAAATAATTATTTTTGCAAAGCGAAAAATTTAAATCCAATCTTGATTCGTTTACGTTTTTCTCTCGTGATATCTGAATAAAAAAATGACTGAAAATAGTTTTCATATATATTTAGCTTTGCGCATATAATTATTTGCAGAATGAATAATTATACTTTAATCACAAATTATACAAACATAAATATTGACTCGCAGCGATTTTCTCGGGCAAACAAATATATACGAGGACAATTAATTGCCTAGAATTGAGATAATTAGAAAAAATAAGTCCAACCCAAAAAAGGAAAACGTAGTTATTTATTCAAAAAAAAGATCCTTAAATTCTCGTCTTCCATTTTTACGGAATATTTTTGTGAAATATAATGACAGAAATTTATATTTTTTTCCAATATATATAATTTCTGAAAAACATACGCGTATAATTTTTTCTGAGCTCAGATAATTTATTCGCTCTGCAGGGATGTGTAGGAAAAAGATTTATATAGACGCCTTCATCCGATCTAAATGAAACTCACTCTCGTTAATCACGACTCTTGACTGTCGCAAACGGAAATAATCGAAATCGGATAATTTCGATGAAAAAAAAGTTATCGTGTCATCTCGGATCCTCGAGCACGCATTCACGTTGATCCACGGAGTATTCGTCCTTTTTCTCCCATCGCGTCGTTCATGTACCATCAACTCGTCCGTGCAACACATTTATCAATAAGTTTTTTACACAACAACGAGGACAAGCTTCCTTCAAACCTCGCGTATACTTTGAACGATCGATGAAAACGTGGGTTTACAATGTATAAAAAAATGTCAAAAGAGGAAGAAAAGCTTCGTCTTGTGAAAGGCAAGTTTCCGCGATCGTGTTCCGATGCTTGGCTGAAGCGACGAAACGGCGCTCTATCGATCCTCCGTCAGGAATGTCCCTACAAGATGGAATATATGTATATTGTCGTCGTGCGGCAAATACATCCACGAAGCTTCATTGATCCAAGCTTGATCTCCTCGTGCAGTCGCGTGCGAGAAAAAAATCCTCGGTCTGCATTAAAGCAGCGTCCTCGGTCTTTGTTCTCGGGATTCAACTCTGTCCTCTTTATTTCGCTCGATTCCCACACTTTTTGCAAGTTCTAGAAGAAAGGAGCGACCATCCATTAGCGGCTTTCGAGTAAATAATTAATCTCGCAACGAGGAATCCGAGACCGGTGGATACGTTTACGTTTTCGCACGATATCTGTACACATATATGTATAAAGCCGAGTGAGAATAGAGATTTTACTTATTTATTTCTGTCTTGTGCGCGCAATGTAATTACCGCGGGACGATATAAAATTCTAGACTGTTCGCGGAACTGTAAAATGTTGCTGTAAATTAGCTGGATTTATGTAATGTATTTTCTCACAAAAATCTTTATTTTAACACAAAAATATATATTATTGTGTATATATATTTTTGTTAAATTTTAATTAAAATTTTTTATCAACTTGGGTTTTTTTATCTGAATTGATTTCTCGCAATATACTTAGCATAATTAGTTGCAAGGATAAGGTGGTAAAAAATGAATGGTTTACGAGATACATATTTTGTACTTTAATATGACACAATTTTCCATAAATTATAAAATACAATTTCTCGTAAAATAATCATTTTTCCATGATTTTACCTCAATATTTTTATACATAAAATAATGAAAGGAATTGGAATTTTGAAGAGAAAAAATATATATTCTCGTAACAGAGACACATGTGTGATGCCGTATTTTCGCAACCTGTCGTAACGGAATTAACTTGATCTTTTCAGAGGCTGATTGCCGAACTCAACAAGGAACAGGAGGCTTTCATCGCCAGTAAGCAAGCTGGCGAAAAGGGCGAGGCTGTTGCACCATGGGTCGGCGCACCAAACGAGGACGCGCTACGCGAGGAGTGTCTGTCGCTCTCAACCGTGAGTGATTTTCGGTTCCTTTTCTTCTTTCCATTAACTGCAGAGAACTTGGAGAAGCTTTGACATTTTTAAGAAACTTTCAGCTCCCTCAAAATCATATCTTTGTCGCGAGCTTGCGAGAAAGCTCGCCAATCCGGATTTTCTTATTTTTAATTTAAAACTTTGCAGAAGGCATAACAGCATGGAATTTAGAAAAAAAATTTAAGAATTTTTAGTTAATGTTGAAAATCTACTCTAAAGAGTGAAACCACTTTTTGTACTTTTCTCGAGAACTATTCTTAGAAATAGCAAAAATATTTTATACAATTGTAAGACTATTTTTATTAATTACTTATATAATAAAACTGTGAAGTAATAAATTTTGAAGAAATTTTTTTTTCAAAATTTAATCATTTGTTCCATTTTTGTTAAATTTTTAAATTTTTATTGGCTTAAATAGAAATGTTTTTACGTTAAAACTTTTTTAACATTTTGAATAGAGTTCAAGAAAACTCGAAAATTCCACTATGTATGTACATATGTATGAGGCGTAGTTTTAAAATTATTTTTTGAAGAGCTGATAAATTGATTCATATTTATTTTTTTACATGTGCAAAGTTTTATTAAAATCAGAATTTTCGAGTTTGCGAAATTTCCTTTGTTCAATCAAACTATCTCGATGTTAGTCTTCATGTTCTCTGTGAAAAAAAGTCAATATTACAAGGAAATCTGAAATTGTTTTAAATATATAAATATATAAATAAATCTTTAATATGAAAGTAACGTGAATCGCGATATAATAACATAATTAATAAATAATTTTCCTAAAATTAATTATATAGTATTACTTTTGCATGTTTTTCTTTTTCACATAAAAATTACTTTTGTTTGAATTATAAAAACTAATTTAATCTAGGTAATTGTCTGAACAAAAATTCTCTGTCCCATGTTATTTTATTTGCCCAAAAAATACGCAGAAAAACACCTTGATTTCATTATCAAAGTTTGCATTTTTCATGTTCGACAGTCTCATTGTGCATTTTCGCAGATTTTTTAAATTTCATGTAATGTTGAAAATAAATCAGTTCTGATTATAAATTTTTATACTTTTACACAGCATATTGGATGCATAAAATTATCTTTTTCATCAATTTGTTTTTCTATTTAAATGTGCAACATGCGAACAAATTCTAACAAAACATCGCTATCAAATTTTGTCGCACAAAGGATTTTCACCGTAAGATGAATTTATCAACTGTGCATGACAAAGGTATCGATATGTGTGATGCGATTCACATTTATCAACTATTACATCGTACAAAAGAACACTCGGGCTTTTTCCTGTATTTTCCCATTTCATATTTTTGTTTTGTTTGACAATTTTATACATATATGTTTGTGATAAACCAAAGCTGCATATCGATCATTAATAAAAATATTGAGATATTTCTGCACGCGTTAAAAATTTTAAAACCTTAGTAGTTATTTTCCACATTTTTGAAACACAAAAATTGAGATAATACAAATCACATCAAATCTCGACGAAAAGTCGAAAATTGTAATATCTTTAAATAAATGATATCAATCGTGCGATATATTTGATTAATATATAATATATAAAAAATCATGTGTGCGTATAAAAAAATCATTAAATTCTTTTATAATTAAAATAAAGATGTAATAATTTCTCTGTTTAAAAAATAAACTTACTTTTTATCGCTCTAATTTTTAAACGCGATTTTAATAATTACTTCATAACTTAAAGCTACTCGTAGTAATTACGGAGAAGATTTTCCTCTCGGATGCCCTCGCTATTTATTCATGCCCCATAACGGCGCTTTGCTGTTTATTTACGCAACGTCGCCTAGGATTAGCGTCGCGAATTTGACGTATAGCTTTAAACGAGCCGACCGGATTAAACGGGGATCTTATCTTCTTATGGATTTCAGGATCGACGTAATTTCGTGAGAGCACCACCACCGGGCGTAGAATTCGCTTGGGATTTCGAGGCGGTTCAGCCGATGGCACAAGCCACCCTCGCTCTGGATCCGAATCTTGAAGCCATGAGGTTCGAGCTTGTCCCGAAAGTGTAAGTAAATTAACTCGTCATATCACCGATTTGTGCATAATAAATCTCATTTCCATTTCACTTATTTAATATCGATCGAATATAAATTCTTAATATTGCGCGTTTTTTATCATTATTATTTAAAAAATTATTTTATTTTATTTGTACTAAAATTTTTTATTAATTAATGTAATTATTAATAAAAAAATATTTAAAAAAATAATTATTTAAAAATTTACCAATAAATCTCGATACCTATTTTTATTTATTGATATGTAAAAGTAATAACATAAAGAAATAAAAGCTTATATCTGACGTTTTATTCGAAATAAATAATTCTGCAATATAATTCTTTTATTATTTTCTTTGGATGCGAGAACAGTCGCGCGTTTCATATAAAATTATATTGTGATCACGTGCGGACGTGATGTATAATAATAAAAAAATTAATAACGTTTATGTTATTAAATTGACAAATAAAAAAATTCGAGCAGATAAAAATGTGATTAATTAACTTGCGGGAGTAGCGTTTTCAAAGAGAAAACGGATCATTTTTAATTAATTTCATATTTCGCGAAATGTATAAAACATTTCGGTAATTAAATTGGGCGCTCCATTAAATTGAACATTCGATGAAAACAAAACGCATTTTAATTATGTCCACAAAATTTCACTCGCCGTTGCTCGCATTATCTCGCGACCAAAATAATTAGTCGATCGCGCTACTTTGAAAACAACAAATGTTTTCGAGCTAGACCTTCGGAAAATACACGTATATAATAATAAAAGTGTCAAGGAGTCACATGAGCGCGAAATTAATACGTGAAAATACCGTTACATTGTTATACCTACTATAGAGAGAGAGTTATCCGCCTCGGTGATTAATTGATTTGCTTACGTTCTAATTAATTAATATCAAGATGATAATTAGCGTTTGGCTTGCTTTGTTCGAATTTGATTCTTTGATTATTTCTTCGTCTAATTCCGAGAATTCATGTATCCCTGCGACTAGAGATCTGTCCAGTTCAACGAAATTTTCTTATATAATTTTCTTACATAATTTGATTCCTCGTAATATAATTTGGCGTAAAAATTATTAGAGCGGAATAGTCGAAGAATGAAGGTTTACGAGATGTTTTATGCTCTTTATTCTGACATTTTGACGAAAAATATGAAATATCTCGTAAAATACTCATTTTTCGATAACCTTATTATTTTCTTTATAGAATAATAAGATAAATCAATTAGTGTGAAAAAACATATACTGTGATTTAAAAAAAATTGCAATTTACAACTGCATATTTTTTTAATAAACTATATTTTTTTTATACAAAGCACAATCCTTATGGAAGAATTTCGGTGGAATTGGCTGGTTTTTTCATATGTTGTAGCTTATGATCTGTTGAACAAAAGATGTAATAGCCTCAAAATTCAATAATGAACAATTACTGATATCGAACTTTTCACTTTTGACTGATTGTAAATCAGTAACTGTTTATTATTTAGCATTGAATCTATTACATTTTTGTTCAACAAATCATCAGCTGTAACATGTGAGAAAATTAGCTGATTTTACCGAGATTCAATGTAGGAGATTTTATATAGGATTTCATATATAGGCTCAAAATTGAATCTTGGTAAGATCAGCTAATTTTCTCATATCTGTTGAAACAAAAATTGTAATATAGATTTAAAACTAGATTAAACACTAGATAGTCACTAATACAGCTTAGTCAAACATAAAAAATTAGGGTTTTGCGAGTTGTTTGACAGACTGTAACTTCGTAACTGTCCTTTATTTAGCTTTGAAGCTATTGCATCTTTTGTTCAACAGGTTCCAAGCTACAATACATGAAAGAACTAGCCAATTCCACCGAAATGCAATTTCCATAGGGATTGTGCGGGGTCGTTTGAACTTGTAAAACATATTTAATGCTATCGTTACTTGCGACAGTATATCCGAGGAGAACTTCTGGCGCAACTACTTCTACCGGGTGTCCCTGCTGCGCCAGGGCTACGAGCTGAACGCGATGGCCAGCAGCCAACAGGAGGCGGAAAGCAACTCCAATCAAACCCTCGCCAGCACCACCGACAGCATCGATCACACTCAAGGTAACTCGTCGTTTGTTGTCCTCTCTTTCTTCTCTCGTTTACGTAGAACAGCTTCCGTAGCTTTACTTACGTCACTTGGACTCGCATTTGACACTGCGACACATGTGATTAGGTTCCTCGAAGACGCGCCCGAACACGCTTCTTCGTGTTTCTCTTCGTTACTGATTCCGGCACGCAGCTTCCTATTATATAAAGCTGAAGGGGATGTCCTAATTAATTTGTGCTTAATTAATCGAGAAAAAAGATACATAAATGTGTCAAAATTTCGCATTTTTTTTTATCTTATTCACAGAATCCAACTATAGATGCGAAATTATAATTATATATAATTTATTTTCATATAAAGCTATCGAGGATATCTAATTAAACAATGATATTGAATATTACGTTAATTTCACTCACGATTCTCTTTCTGCTTCTAGAATGTCATTTATTTTTATTATAAATTAATATTGATGATATGTCAGTATCTAATTAAACAATATTAATTTTATTACTCAATGCGAGGAAATTAATTTCGGGAAATTCCGACCGTCTGCGCGACTTAGGACCTCCCCTGTCAGCATCTCGGGGCACGACGTCTCGCCGAGATGAACCCCTCACTCAGCTAACCGAGTGGACGATGCAAGTTGCAAGATGCAGCGATGGAGAGGAGATCGGCGTCGCGTCGTGCCACCTTGATTTGCAATTCCGATTAGCGGCGTCCTACGCTGGACGCCTTTTTTGCATGGGAGTTTTGAGATGGCGTGCATTTTCTGTGCAAACGCCGATGCCGGATGCTGGGAACGTATTGATCGAAGAAGGGAGCCCCCGAAGTTTTAATTTAAAGTTTCAAGCGAATAAAGAAGCTTACTTTTCATCCGCGACTCGTGATATCATCGAATCCGAGGGTTCGAATCCAGCATATATGTATACATATAGATCTCTTGCGATTTACTTCTCTAATTTATTTCGCGAATTATAAAATTGATACGCGCGAAATATTAATATAATTTCTTTCGCAAATATAAAAGCTCGAATAACACAAAGTACGAAAATATTACATTGCATATCGTGTACTATGGAACTTTTTAAACTTGTTAATTTTTTCTGAACAAAAATCTAATTATAATTAATATTTTGTTATTAATACAAATTATCAATTCGAATTTATTCTTTTTTATTAATGCAAATTATTATTGGATTTATTTCTTATAATTTACTCGAAATTATTTTTTTAAATACATTATTGTGATAATTTTTTTATGCATGAGAACTCGTATATTTACATACGAGGTTGTTATATCATATTATATTAACTATTTTACAATTTTAATGAATAAAAATCTAATTACAATAATTGATAATTTTTTTTTGTAAGAGAAAAATTACAAACTGAAATATTTCTTACGCATTGACGAAAATTTTCGGATCGTTATTAGATTCATTTCTCTTATGCAATTAAATTTTTCCTTTGCGAAGTATATACCACAAATAGATTTTTACTTGGAATTAATGTTCGTAACAAATAGATCCGCGAACTAAACGCTGGGGAGGACGTGAATTCGATTGGAATTAAATTCTCTACGGCGCGAGTTGGTTTAGTTAACGGATTGAAAGTACGAGGGCGAATGCGTTTATACCCAATACGTTTCCGGCGTGTAGGTGGGCTTTTGCACGAGACGTGGAGTCACGTTCGCAATCAGGATTACGACATCAGAGAGAGAGAGAGAGAAAGAGAGCACAGAGAGTCATTCGCCTTGCGGTTATAACTCTGGTTAGGTTGCAAACAATGGAATTGCGATGCGGCGCGGATGAATTAACGGATAAAGGGAAATAGTAGAAGAGCCGAGTCGGGAAATCGATCGTCGAAGAGGGATGAAATCGCGAAGGAAGGGAAATGAGCGCGTGAACATTTCCAAATATTCTTGAGAACCCGGAGATTATCCCGTGAATGAGACTCTCAAGAGGTTGTTGCTACTCTCAGCTCTCACTCTCTCTCTCCTTATCTTTCTCTTGCATTCCTTACTTGTACTATTCCTCTCTCTCTACCCGATCGTTGAACTGGTGTCTCTCACCTTTTAGCCGAGGAGAAAGATCCGATTTCGCCCCAGTTCCAGTATATCGCGAGAAATTGAATCTCTATCGGGAGGAAAATGTCGGGGCAACTCGATGATACCCAGGCGAAAGAATACGAATATCCCGAATATCCCCCGGAATCTTTTTTCAGATTTTCACGAAAGACGAGCTTTGGTCTTTGAAAGCTGATATAAATATTCGTAACATTTTTGCCTTGTCTCGGCTATATTTAATTTTCTGCCGATAACTTTTCTTTGTTTCATCAATGTATGGATATTCAGGTACAATTTTTTATAGCAACTGTTAGACATTCAACATTTTATCCTGTTGTATTTTTAGAAAATTTTCAAAGGCTCTTTGTATTTTATTTTAGATCACAAAAGAGTTTCAATCTATTTTTAACATCTAAAGTTACTTTGGGTACTCATTTATTGACAGAATTTTAATTATGCTCGAATTAGTTTTATCACTTATAAAGTAAAATTTAAATCAACAGAAGTCCCGTTTGTCTTTCTCTAATATTTCTCACGTTGGAATTGACACGATATCCTCCAGAATCTTTGAGATTTTTGTAAAAGCTTGGCCTTTGAAAACTAATTTAAATATTCGTGTAACACGTTTGCTTCGTCTTTGGCTATTTAATTTTCTGTCAATAATTTTTCTTTGTTTCATCAATGCATTGATATTCTTATACAAATTACGTGTTTTCGACACATACTGTGTCAATTTCTTTATAGCAGCTTTTGGACATCCAACATCTTATCCTGTTGTATTTTTAAAAAATTTTCAAAGGCTCTTTGTATTTTATTTTAGATCGCAAAAGAGTTTCAATATATTTTTAACATCTAAAGTTACTTTGGGTACTCATTTATTGACAGAATTTTAATTATGCTCGAATTTGTTTTATCATTTATAAAGTAAAATTTAAATTAACAGAAGTCCCGTTTGTCTTTCTCTAATATTTCTCACGTTGGAATTGACACGATATCCTCCAGAATCTTTGAGATTTTTGTAAAAGCTTGGCCTTTGAAAACTAATTTGAAATTTTTTGTGTAACACGTTTGCCTCGTCTTGGCTATTTAATTTTCTGTCAATAATTTTTCTTTGTTTCATCAATGCATTGATATTCTTATACAAATTACGTGTTTTCGACACATACTGTGTCAATTTCTTTATAGCAGCTTTTGGACATCCAACATCTTATCCTGTTGTATTTTTAAAAAATTTTCAAAGGCTCTTTGTATTTTATTTTAGATCGCAAAAGAGTTTCAATATATTTTTAACATCTAAAGTTACTTTGGGTACTCATTTATTGACAGAATTTTAATTATGCTCGAATTAGTTTTATCACTTATAAAGTAAAATTTAAATCAACAGAAGTCCTGTTTGTGTTTCTCTAATATTTCTCACGTTGGAATTGACACGATATCCTCCAGAATCTTTGAGATTTTTGTAAAAGCTTGGCCTTTGAAAACTAATTTGAAATTTTTTGTGTAACACGTTTGCCTCGTCTTGGCTATTTAATTTTTTGTCAATAATTTTTCTTTGTTTCATCAATGCATTGATATTCTTATACAAATTACGTGTTTTCGACACATACTGTGTCAATTTCTTTATAGCAGCTGTTGGACATCCAACATTTTATCCTGTTGTATTTTTAAAAAATTTTCATAGGCTCTTTGTATTTTATTTTAGATCGCAAAAGAGTTTCAATCTATTTTTAACATCTAAAGTTACTTTAGGTACTCATTTATTGACAGATTTTTAATTATGCTCGAATTTGTTTTATCATTTATAAAGTAAAATTTAAATCAACAGAAGTTCCGTTTGTCTTTCTCTAATATTTCTCACGTTGGAATTGACACGATATTCTCCAGAATCTTTGAGATTTTTGTAAAAGCTTGGTCTTTGAAAACTAATTTAAATATTCGTGTAACACGTTTGCCTCGTCTTTGGCTATTTAATTTTCTGCCGATAACTTTTCTTTGTTTCATCAATGTATGGATATTCAGGTACAATTTTTTATAGCAACTGTTAGACATTCAACATTTTATCCTGTTGTATTTTTAGAAAATTTTCAAAGGCTCTTTGTATTTTATTTTAGATCACAAAAGAGTTTCAATCTATTTTTAACATCTAAAGTTACTTTAGGTACTCATTTATTGACAGAATTTTAATTATGCTCGAATTTGTTTTATCATTTATAAAGTAAAATTTAAATCAACAGAAGTCCCGTTTGTCTTTCTCTAATATTTCTCACGTTGGAATTGACACGATATCCTCCAGAATCTTTGAGATTTTTGTAAAAGCTTGGCCTTTGAAAACTAATTTAAATATTCGTGTAACACGTTTGCTTCGTCTTGGCTATTTAATTTTCTGTCAATAAGTTTTCTTTGTTTCATCAATGTATGGATATCAAAGGTACAATTTTTTATACCAGCTGGTGGACATCCAACATTTTGTCCTGTTATATTTTTAGAAAACTTTCAAAGGCTCTTTGTATTTTACTTTAGATCGCACAAAAGTTTCCATCTATTTTTAACATCTAAAGTTACTTTAAATATTCATTTATTGACAGAATGTTAATTATGCTCGAGCTATTTTTATAATAAATAAAATAAAATTTAAAATCAACTGAACTCCCTTTCATCTTCCTCTAATATTTTTCACGTTGGAACTGAAGCGATGGATCAGATCCCTCGACAAACGATGTTCGCGACTTCTTACACACCGATTAACCGATCGTTTGCGTACGAAATCGATAGACTTAGCGCTAACTTTAGACACACACACTTTAAAATTGTACATACATAGTACATGCACCTGTATACATAGTACACACACACACATACATTCACACACACCCTACCCGTTTAGTTTAGCCGTCAGTGTTGTCTTGCGAACAGTTCAAATGACCACTGGCCAGACAACCACCTCCGGTGCGACGACGACGAGCAGTAACAGCGCGCTGGCCGATTCGCCAGGTCACGAGTTCGTGTCCGATACCATGAGGGTCTCGGACACAGACCTCGAGGAGGTCCGAGAGGGGATGCGAAAGCTGGGGATGCAGCCGCCGAAAGGTCAGTTCGTTGATCGTTGGTCGTCGTTAACTCACGAGAGCTCGCGCTCTCTCGCCAGTCAGACGAGATCTACCGGATCCACGAAGTAGGTCCTCGAAATGCTAATCCTTTTCGTGCAGTTCTCTAGCCGCGAGAAGATTATTCCGGCTGACTTGGCCGAAAACGGCGCCCGCGAGACGTGTTCCTTTCCCAAGTGGGAAATTATACGGTAGATCGAATCTGCGGTGAGACGCGAGTTCTGTGAAAAACCTTTAGTTTCTCCTTCTAAGTTCTCCCCCTTTGTTAGTTACGACCACCAACGAAGATTTACTTAACTACGTAATAACGGAGCCGTTTCTCATTTGTTGGCGATCAACGGATGGTACCCGGTGCTCTTATGTTGCCTTTAGTGTGTCTAGAAGGATCAGATTTCCTTCTTGTCAAATTTTTATTAATTTCTCATTAATTGTTTTATTAATAAAATTGTAATAAAACAAAAAGATCTGATAAATACAAATTGAGCCCAAGTTTTTCGTATTTGACTAGATGTAAATCAGTAACCATCTATTATTTAACTTTGAACCTATTTTTTGTAAGCAGATTATAAACTAAGAATAACTTATAAGAAAATCAGCTGATTTTACCAAAATTCAATTTTATATGATTTATTTTTGAACCTATATAATAGTCTAGATGGAAAATTGAATCCTGATAAAATCAGCTGATTTTCTTACATGTTGTAATAATTTGCTGAACAAAAGTGTAATAGCCTCAAAGTTAAATAATAGATAGTTACTGATTTACAACCAGTCAAACGTGAAAAAATAGGCCATTCCACTAAAAATCCTTTATTTAAATTTTTAAAAATAATCAACTCCGTCCTTAATTTTTAATTTTTTTAATAAAAATTTTCTCAGGATTCTTGATAATATACATCAAGATTTTTGAAGCTCTAATGCTAATAAATAATTACCAAGATTTGGTATTCGGTGGAGAAATGGCGACAGAGAGGGAGAAAAGGTACCATTCATTGATCTCGACAACAAAACGGAAACGGGTCACCAAAAAAGGTGATCGATGCGAGAGCTCGATCTGTGCCACGACACGGTCCAAGAGTACTCTCCTCGTGAGTATGAAATTAGTGTGCCACCAACGAGAAGCCTGACCTTAATCTCTTAGTGTTTACACCTTGACCACGCCTAGTGTCGTTTTCTTTACGTAGCCTCTCTCTGTGTATCTCCGATCTTCGATCTTCCTGTCTGCGCTTTCTTTAGGGATTGCTTGTTTTTTTTCCGAATTCTCTGATGTGATTGTATTATGGCAACGACGTGTCCTTCCGGCCGGGACACGTCATATGTCACATGTTGTGTTGTCGTGTTGGAAAACGTCTGTTGCGTTTTGAACGTCACTTCCTATTTTTTTTCTTTTTTTTTCTCTTTCTCTCTGTCTTTCTCTCTCTGTTTACATGGACGTTCTGAAATAAACGACCGCTTTTCATTCTATTTTGTCAACAGCCTAAAAGAAGAGGAGAGCGTCCCCCCAAATGCCATTATCCAAAGCACACCCTCTCAGAGATATACATGCTTTCCGCTCTCGAAAACTGACAATTTCAGTTCTTAGCGGTACCGAAAAATCTCCTCTTTCTCTCTTTTCCTCTCTTCCCATTTTTCGTTTTACTTTTTTTTTTTTTTTATTAATTTTTTAAGTTTCTACGAAGCCACCACCGGGCACGAACGTTCCCACGAGACGAATAGTGGCGCAAATTTTTATTTTTCTTTTTTTTTCTTTTTCGATGCGATTCCGTGCCAGTCGCAAGAATCGTGAAAAGCGACGTCAGATTCTCAAATCGATGAGGAAGCTAGCACGCTAAACACGGAACGCCCCCGGGGAAATAAAATAGTCGCGTACAAGGAAAGATAAAGGAAAAACGCGAGCCGGTTGGTAAGGAACTTGTAATTATAGACGGCTGTCACATTGAGAGAAAGCAAGTTTTAGTATAATAGAGAATTAAATTTCGTCATTTATACAAAGATCTCATTTTTTTATTTTAGTTTTATGTAGACGTGGGCCTCGAATAAACAGGCTCTAAGAGCGTTTTTTATATTTAGACCGAGGAGGAGTGTAGAAAACAAATGATATCCCTTTAATTCGAATTTAAATCCAAATATTGAATGTAAAAAATAGCACGGTTTTTTATTTACTTTTATTTCGAATATTGACGTCGAGGGTGAAAGAATCTGTATCTGTGAAATTTCGTCCTGGCATAGAGACGCGTTAGAGAGCTCATCAAATCGCGAAAAAAAAAATATGAAAGACGCGAAAGAGGGGAAAAAAAGTCGTCACGTTATGTGTGAGTGCAGCAAATAAAATAGATGCAATAAGAATAGAAGGGAGGTTGTGTGCGAGAGAATGAGGTACGAGAAAGAAAATAACGTGGATAAACAACCGGACCGAGTGCAGAAGGATACTCGGCTAACATGTCTATATATTTGACTGTTTTGCTGTTGTCTCTCTCTCTTTCACTCACTCTTTTTCTTTCTCTCTTTCTCTCTCTCACTCTCACTCTATCAATTCCAATTAATCTAACCCGTTTCTCGATTCTCTCTCTCTCTCTCTATCCGTGTCTTTGTAAACGTGTATAATTAACGCAAAGCAACTAGACATCTTGAAAGATAAATGAGTGGGAAGAATTATAAAGAGAAGTCATTGATAAGATAAAAAAAAAAAACGCGAGATATATATTACATTGTGCAAACCGCAAACTTAATCATAGGTGTACCTTCGTAAGAGAATTAATTAAATGGAGACCTAAGAAAAAAAAAGAGAAATATATGTATAATAAATATAAATATATATATATATGTACGCTATATATTATACTATAAATAAAATATAAAAAATGCCCCGGCGCGCTATTAATACGGAATCGTTTTCTCCCGTAAATATAATCCTCCCCTTGGAAACGTCAAACATGTTTGATCTCCGCGCGAATGAAATTAGATTTGATTTGACGAGAAGAAAATTGTGAGACCGCGCGTGTCTTTTGCAAGAGAAAAAAAAATCTAATATAACAACGAGATAACGGCGAGGGATGATTATTTCGGCGGGAGGGAAGGAAAGATCGATCGGATTTTTATCGCGTCGTCGCATAAATTCATTGAATGACAATACGTGTTTCACCGGGAAATGAGCTATAATTCGGCTCGTGGCCCGGCATCTCGTGAAAAAAAAGCGGTGTGTGTGTGTATGTAGATCTGTCATAGAGCGATTATTTTCTCCCGATTACGATGAAAACAAACGCTGGGCCGCGGCTGGGGTGCGATTCGTTTACACACACCGTCCACCGGGAAAGGCGAGAAAAAAAGAGGAAATCAATTAATTACGCGAGGCAGACGAGACGAAAAAGAATTTTTTTTTTTTTTTTTTGGTATAAAGATTTTTTTCCGCAAGGATGCATTTGCTTGTTAGCAGCCTTTGGGAAAAGGGCGAGATAGACGAGCGAAATAAGAGTATCAGCTTTGTATTAAGAGTATTGTATCAAAGGAAACGATATTCGATAGTATTGCGATATGATTAAATGGAATGCTCATTGACATCTCGTCTTTGATTTGGCTGTAACATTGACTTATGTTTTTAGTGATTTCTTTATGCGATGGGGAATTTATATAATAATATAGAGAGAAAGTGAAATATAAAAATACAAGAGATGTAACTTTGGTACAATCGGAAGGATAATATTTTTATGTGAAAAAAAAAAAAACAAGTCGAGATTGTAGATTTTTTTTTATGCAATTCTTTTTTTAATTTGAAAATTGATGTATCATATTTTTTGAATGTGTGAATGATCTTTAATGATTATATATTATCGAATTATTTCGTACGGATATTGGTTATTAAAATATGCATAAAATATTTTTTCCTAAATTAAAGAAAAACAAAATTTTTAATATTTATTAAACATTGATATTTATATATATATATATATATACGTATATTATATTCCTTTAACTTCTTTAATTTAAATTCGTTTACATTATTTTTTTATTAATAGAATATTGTATTTTTATATAATTTTATTTAATTATATTTTAAGTATGAATATTCGATATATATTTTGTCATTAGAGATTCTTCACTACTATAAAAAAAATCAAGCATGCTATCAATTTTCCAATTTTCTCGAAATGTTTTCGACTTTTTCATGTAGAATTATTACCTTCCCGGTTGAGCCATTAGTTACAGGGAATATCCTGTATATAAACTTGATTCCTTTCAGTTAAAAAAAATTACGATTATATGTGTACATTCCATACGTATATATTGTTCAATTCGCAATTTTCTAATATATATGCATACATATATATCCACGACTTTTTCATCTTTATATTTACATTAAAGTTGAAAATAAAGGATATAGAAATAAAAAAAATAAAAAAAGCATCGTAGATATGTGCATATAGAGATTATCGTGAGATAAATAAATAACGGAGATATAAAAATTTCCTCCGCATCTTTTAATAACGCGGCAGCATTTATTCTTTCCAATTAATTGACAACAATTTCATCGGTAAACGCCGCGTAATAGACTTCTCGTAGGAGCATTCGCGAAAATATCGGATTATTCGCCTTCGGTTCGAGCAGTCCGATAAAACTACTGGCAACAACTGAATTATGGCTTTCCGTTCCCGGTTGCACTTTTTCCCGGACTTCGGTTTTCCGCAGCCGGAATATCGCTCGCTCTCACTCTCTTTCTCTCGGCTCGACGCGAGGCGCAAGTAAGGATCGATAAATGACGGGGAGAGTGTATACGCAAGCATTTTGCGAAACATTTTTAGTGTTTTATGTCATTCCGCAAAAAAAAAAAAAAACGCCGAGAGATAATTTTTTTTTTTTTTTTTAAGCATTATCTCGCGAGAGAGCTTTTTTAAGGGATGATCACGTTTAAGAATAATACGTCTTAGAATAATTCGCGGGGTCGTTTTTAGTTGTCGGAGCATGTGTGTAATAAGGGATTATTTAGAGAAACACACCGTAAGATGCTATTATTTAAGACTTAGCGTTATTAAATAGAGGCCGCGTACTTATATTAACGCCTACTAATACTACTAGTTTTATTCGCGTACGCTTATATAAGCGTGTATGTACGATAATGTTAGATAATTTCGCGCTTAAACGATGAATATTTGATTTGGCCGAAGTGGTGTCCGGAAAAACTGTTCGATCTAACGCGTGTTCTGTAATAAAAAAAAGGAATCTCTATACTAAAATTTTGCATGTGAAATTTTATTGAAACTGATTGTGAGTTTATGTGTCATACGAATTTAATCTATCTTTTTTATACATTTTTCCCCATGGGAATCCTTTTAAAATAATTGCATGAAATTGCATCTACTATTCGAATGTATAAAATATCGATTTTATTATCGCGTTGTACAGGGTGATTCGCTTTAATCTAAACAGACAAATACAATATTTGGAAATCACGAGGAGTTTCAGACAAAAAAATTTTATAATTTCGAGGGAGGATGATATCATAATTTTTCAAGATTATTTAAAGATCCTTAAATCTAGTTAAAAGTATAAAATATCTCGTTAACTATTCGCATTTTGATCAATCTACTTGCATAATTTTTTTGTGCGAGGAATCGATTTATATAAAAAAATTAGGATAGTTATTCCATTAAAAAAACCTAGATCGATCTTCAAATGATTTTGAAAAATGCTACCTAAAGATAATTCTATAATTTTTGCTTGGATACATTTTTTCTATTTTCAAATATTTGCCTAATAAGACAAAAATAAATTTTACCATATATACAGTTTTTATTTGTCTATCGATTTAAATTTAAAAAATAGGGTGGTTCCATTAAAAAAAAAATAATAAATAGATCTTCAAACGATCTTGAAAAATGCCACCTAAGGATAATTCTATAATTTTTGCTTGGATACATTTTTTTTTTCAAAACTCTTCTATGATTTCCAAATATTTGTCTGTTGAGAAAAAAATAAATCTCACTCTGTATACAGTTTTTATTTATCTATATATCGCTTCGGGCACCGCTGGTTTAGCGCAACGAGGATTATCAGCGCGTCGCTGCGATAATCGCATTCCGAGACGTTTAAGTCGCGATATCCCGATTAATTACTTTTGTAATTGCGAGCCAGTCACTTTTGTAACGAGTACACGTTAAGCGTTAACGTGATCAACTAGCTATTTCTCCCGGTAATTCGCCGTAATATTCCCAGAGAGAATCTCCATATAAGGGTTGACAAGAAAGGGATGTTGGAATATAATGATCGCGATTGTCCTCAGAGAAATCATCATATATCTTTCTCTCTCTCTCTCTCTCTCTCTCTCTCTCTCTGTCTCCTTTTATTTCTCTCTCAGGCTACTAACATATCGTGAATGTGTTTAACGAACTGGAATACAAAAAAAAAAAGCAAAGAGGAGAACGTCGAGGCTAGGATGCCCTCTTTTTGCCTTCCGTTTCGTGTTTTCTCCCTCTTTGATTTCTCCCCTCCTATAATTTGAGTTTTTCATCCCTCTTTTCCTCCCGACACTCGAACACTTATACAAACCCCAAGTAGCAAAGTGACGTTATTAAGCGTGATGATGACATCATTCGGCGTGAAGATGATGTATGCTTGCTACCTGGGACGTATACATACACGTCATTTCCGGAAAATACACACACACACACACATAAAAAAGACGAACAGACAGACAAACAAGACCAGAGTGCGGCCCTCTCTGCAAAATAGCTACAACGCTGCTTGTGCCTCTCCGCAGAAGAAGATTGGGAACGTGAATTGGAGGCTGAGCTAAAGGATTACGAGGTTGTAACGGGCGGCCACGGGAAGAACAACAAAGATGTCATGGCCAGTAACGATAACGATTGGGAGAAGCAAATCGACGATCTGCTCGCCAACGAGGACGACGAGGATCTCAAGTGAACCGAGAGGGAGAGCTTCCTCCTCTCGTGAGCGGATAAATGGATTCTCGTTGCTCCTCCGCGTTGAGACACTCTCTACCACGAGCTTTTGCGTTTTACGCTCGTTACATGAGCTCTCTCTCTTTCTCCGATCGAGAGAGAGAGAAGCTCTCGCGGAAGATTTGTTTTGTACGTTGTTGTTTGTATTGCGTTACGTTACTCTCTCATCGATCTCCTCTCGAAGGAAGAGGAAGAAAAACGCGTAGGACGAAGCGATGCTCGAGGAGAATTGACTCTCTTCCGCGGGAGATCGATATATCGCGATGTGGATTAAGATTTGTTATGGGTGACATATGTTGATTCTGTGATTTGTTATACGATGTATGTTAATTCTCTGCGAGATTGATGAATTTTGTTAAATATTTATTTTTTGAGAAGGGAGAATTTATTTTCGACTGACGTGCGATTGATAAAAATCCCTGACAGCACGCATATGACTTCTCCGAAGACGTTCGGAGAACATCCTGAGGATGTTCGAATATCCTCCTGGATATCCTCTGAATAACTTTCTGATATGTTGTTGTTATTATAGGGATTCGGCTGAAAAATTTTTATATTGGAATTTTTTCCTTTTTTACTTGTACGCGAATATTACTTGCTATTCGACGTGATTTTCCTTTCGCGTACAAATAAACTTCTTTACGTCGAGAAGCTAGGAAGCTGTTCTTTGTATTTTGCGGACGGGTCGCGTTAACATTGAAAGAAGGAAACCCTCTTATTTCGTTTCTTACGAAGAGCCGTCTCGAAAGAATTCCTCTTCTCATTTCGATCTCCTGAAGGAAGAAAACGCGAATAGGAACGTCGTGTGATTCTTTGAGGATCGGCTCGTCCTCTGGAAAGAGAGGAGCCAGAAGCACACAGGGCGAAAGAGAGGTGGAAATCGCCAAAAGTGGCAAAAATGGGGAAATTGTATAAAAAAGCAAAAATCTGGGAGTGAGAGAGAGAGAGAAAGTGGTCCGTTGTTTCTCTTATTTTTTTTCTTTTTTTTCGAAACAGCGCGTTCTTCGCGATTCTCGAGCACGATGAACAAGGACGATTCTATACCGTTTTATAAAAAAAAAAAAAGAGAGACTCCTTAATTGTATATTCATGCGATTATATTTTCGTACGATCGTTAAGACGGAAATTCGTGTTCCTGAGCTATAAAACGACGAATCGCGCCGGAGGAGGGTGACACATGAATTTAATCAACACCACATATGCACTTATGTCAATTATTGGACGGTCTTGTCCGAGAATATAACGTTGAATATAACGATGAAATATGTTTTCAAAATTGCACGATATTATACATATATATTGTATATTGTGTGTATAAATTAATTAATTTCTAATGCGATGGAAACACGTGTGAATTGCAACCGTCCTTCATCGTGGTCGGAGGATCGACGATTATCTTCAAAATAAATTATAATAATTAATTCAAAATAAATTACACTGCCGTGTGCCGAAGGACACAGTTTCGAGTCTCGATTAAACGATTGTTGCGATCAGCGACGCATTTTTTGCGCACACTTAGATTGCTAAAGTGATTCTGCAAGCTTATCTATTTATAATTTTTTTTTTAATATACAAAAATTTCGTAAAAGAAAAAAAGCATCCAAGTGTATAAACATAAATGCACCACTGATCGTCGTCCTTTTTTTTAATCCAACGCTGGATTGCACTTCTCGTTATTGATTGTCAACAATTATTTCAACAATCGCGAAGTGACGTAATGCCAAAGATAATACGAGAATCGCTTCGGCTCGACGGATATAATATTTTTAATCTGGAACTCTCGCGTAAAAAATTTTGCGCGAGACTTCCTGTAACTAAAAAAAATAAGGAAGGCACTAGATTTAACGATATATTGTTTATATATGTTTTCGATAAAACCTGTAGATAAGATGCGAGAAGTTATCGCGATGATGACGATAACGACATCGATGATGATGATGAAAATGATGATGATGATGATAATGATGATGATGATGATGGTGATGATGATGATGATGATAATGATGATAATGATGATGATAATGATGATGATGATGATAATGATGATAATGATGATGATGATGATGATGATGATGATGATGATGATGATGATGATGATGATATTGAGAGAATGTCTTTAATTGTGAAAGTTATTGTTTGTTTTGTGTGTCAAAATGAATTGTACTGAATTGTAAGAAGGAGACATGTTCGCGTTGTCTGTACGGATAAAATATCGCATGAATAAGTCTCATTGCGTTTGCATATAATTATGCATGCATATATATTGCGCTATATTATTTATACAAGTAAATTAAAAGCGGCGGAAAAACGGAAATTTTCGGACTAATTAATTAAATAATTAATTACGTATTCCAAAGTCGGATGCGACGTGACATTTCGTTGCTGATATCGATTATTCTCTGTGTGATAAACCGTCCACAATCATCCCCTGCCATAGAAGAGACAGGAAGAAGCAGCTGATTCGCGCAGACAAAGAAGAGGCAGTAAAATATTAATTTTTAATTAATAAAAGTTAGATATTATAGTTCTCTCCGTAAAAGAACCTAGAGTTATCTCTATAATATCTAAATTAGATATTAATTTAGATATTCTAATGATATATATCATAGAGAGGGAGATATGGGATATCTTCTCCGTGCAGACAAATAGATAAGATGATAAGATGAAGAACGCGAGAGGGTGAACAAACGTCAGGATCGAAGCGAACGATTAAAAGGCTAAATTTATGGTGGGACTTAGAAGAAAATATATACTCTCTACGAGCTTAACCCTTACATTGGACGATTTTCAGGTTTTGGATTTTAGTCGCGTAATTTCACTATATCTTAAATGTGAAACCTTTATTGCTTTTAAACAAAAACAAATAGCGTTTAATATTATTTTTTCATATGTATTAGTTTTATTCATATTTTAAATCTTGTTTTTTTTAATTAATTAAAAATAGCAGAGAAAGTTGAATTCACAGAATTTTGCTATATTTTATCTAATTTATTGAACTGTTATTTTAATAAATGAAATATTTTTTTGCCATATTATATATATCTCTTTATATTACTGAGGTTTTTAACAGTACTTTAATTGATAATTATGAAGACTCTGATGGTGACGGAAAACTATTCGATTCAATCAGGAAAAAAGATATATGAAGTAAAACATTATTCGCGTAAAACTTGATCTTATTAATGAGAATTTGAAAACGTCATTATTTGAGCCATCCCACGGGCCAATTTAAGGGTTAACTATTATTGTTATATAGTTTTATTATACTCTCGTCAATTGTCTGTAAAATAATTTTTTCGAGATAAAGTATTCTATTGAATAAACTAATCCTGAATCTTCGTCGTAACACTTAGCATGGAATGAGTGATGATTTTATTACAAAGATGACATTGAATATGGATTAAAGCTATTTCTATCGCTATATAAAGAAATGCGTGCTAAAAATAAGAATATTTCTATATAAAACTTCTTTTAAGCACACACGATTATTCCCATCATAAATTCCGCAGGAAAAAAAATGAAATGAAACTGTCTAGTAGCAAAAATGAGTCCGAATTTCCGGTCAATTTATACACCACGACTTTTTCTACCTCTCTTTTTGAAAAGCCACTCCTTGAGACGAAGCTGAGATCGCGATGACGTCATTTCCTTCCGCACGAGACTCTATTGTGTAGAAAATTATTAAAGTGTAGAACGTAAAAATATTTCTGTCACGTCTCCCTCCGCTTTAAAAAGAAAAACGCAGCTTCATCAAATGCGTTCATCTTACCCCGAGCAAGTTCGTTGTAAAGTCGAGGGAATAACTCTTGTAAGACTTGTAACTTTCATTCGGAGGCACAAATTCGCATCCAACAGGCCTAAGTCTGTCGAAGTGATAATGCAAAGGCGATAATTGCATTTCTTCGTTATTTGACTCGAGCCGAGAGTTCCTTCGCATCCCTTTGACTGTATAAGTGGAAAAAAATCGTGAGAAAACTTTCCCTTCTCTCTATCTCTCTCTTTCACTGGCCGAAGGTAAAAAAAAAAAGAGCACGCTAAATTTCCAAGAACGTCGTCCTATTTTCCGCGAAAGCGACAGGAGAAATGAAAACGCGAGATGGCCAGAAATATCGTGGTGTACTTTGGCAAAATAACAAAATGTGAACTCTGTGAATTAATTGTGTAATAAAGCGCTATCCTACGGTATATTGTGTGTGTGCATTCACACTTGTGAAAAAAAAAAACAAAAAGAAAAATGAGCATACACCCGATATCTATATATGCATATGTATGTATGTATACACGTATACATATGAATAAATATATATATATGTTGTTGACTCCATTGAAAGTATGATAATATATTATGGATATATTATAATGAGAATATATAATGACACAAGCGAAACTATTGAAAAAAATTATTAATGTAATGGGAGAATGTAAACAATAAAAGTCGTAAGAAATGAAATAAAATAAAATAAAATATTACCTCTTATAAAGTAAGATTTTTCTCCCTTATGTCATTATACCCATCATTCCCTTTCTCATTAAAAGTCATATGTAATTAAAAAATATAAAATATATAAAATTATCCTATATAATACACACACACATATTTAATAAGATTTCTAAAAATAAAATTTGTTACAAAAATGCATTAATTTCGTTTTATAATATTCTAACGGACAGATAAATATAATGATCTGCCATTGTATTAAAATAAATTTTTATTACACATTATTTGTACCATAATATTTACAGATCTCTCAAAGTTGTATGTACATCAATTAACATTCTGATTCCTCATACATTTCATTAGAATCGAAATTTACATTACTTGTGAGATTACCATTATTCTTATTGCCCCAAATAGAGTATATTTGCCAGTATTTGAACATGATTAAAAAAATTATAAAATTATAAAAATAATATAACTTGATCGAATAGAGGAAGCTACTGATTGAGTTGGCATTACAAAGGAAATCACAAGTGCTAGCAGTCGGTCGAACGGAATTAGAGACACAAAATACGTAAGATTACATTTTACGAAATGCTGTAATCCGAGATATAAAAGCAAAGTCGAAATACTTAAGCATCTAGGATTTGAGCATAATTTCCATTTACGTATACAGTTCCTTCATCAACCTGTCTACAGCGAGTATTTTAAATTGCAGATCGAAATATATATATATATATATATATATATATATATATATATATATATATATATGTTTATGATAATACCTTCTATATTATAAATATAAAATTCATTGTATAAATTTTCAAACTATAATATTTGAATAACTGACGCCTTTCTTGTTCATTTGTTCATCATAATAAATAGAAGAATGGGGAACATTTAAATTATCTTACGTGTTACGTTTCTGAGTTGACGTTAAATACAACCCCTCAGCTTACATGCAAAATTTAATGTAACGTTAGCGAGTCTTAATATTAACGTAATCGTACTGTCAAGATTCGCGTTTTAAAATAATCTTTAAATCATCTGGCAATACATGCGTAATGTCATTTATTCTTTCTCGTAATCTCTCCTTCACCGAATTATCGATTGGTACATCGTCGATGCAGCTTCTCTCCAATTTTTGGCGAATCCTAAGAATCATATCGACCACCTCCACTTCCTGCTTTCCCTGCACCCACGTTTTCAGGTCCTATCCACGCAAATATATCACATTAATCATATGAGAGCATTAGAGAGAGAATACAGGGGGAAAAATCAATATTTCAATACATACTGCTTGCGACAATTTTTCCAATTGTTTAACTTGTAACTGCTGACTCAACTCTGTATATCTAGTGTGGAACCATCCAGAGAAGTTAGGTGATCGAAAGAATCGTTTATAGAGACCTACCCAGTCTCCTTTAATTCCTGTAGTTAATTGGGGACCGGAGCTACTTAAGCTAGCTAGGAAGTCATCTGGATTGAACATTTGCGGTGTAGGAGTTGCCTAAAGTAGCAGAGCCTATATGAGAGAGATTCTATAAATTATTAAAAGAAAAATGTATTTACCTTGAAAGGTGATATGTTCTTTTGCAGCGGCATGAGGGTCGCGATGTACCTCTCGAGAGGGATCATAAAGCTCTCGGTCAGTTCTATCAGATGACGTTTCAAGAGCGCGGTTTGCACTTCACCAGGTCGTTTAGTCTGAATACCCCTGAACAGTTTCTTCAAAATGGTTTTATCCTTCTGAAGAAAGGGCTTGTACTGAGTATAAACGCCAGGCTTGGAATCCAATACCTTCAGATTCTCTGATCTCTTGATTTTGTATTTTTGATCTTCTGAAACATCGAATCTTGTAAAACAAATTGTCTAGGAATTTCCTGATCTTTCAGATATTTTAATTAAATATAAAACAAAATATTAAAGACACAACTTTTGAAAATTCCCGAGTTTCAGTAAAATTCTATGAAAATTCTCCGATTTTTCAAGGTAAAAAAATCCTCGACAATCTCTAGGTTTTCCAGAGAACATCCTGATCTTCTAACTTACCGCTGTTGCTGCCGTTGCTTGTCCGGATGATATGCGGCCAGTGTTGCAAAGTTTTGGCAAAAAACGGATTCGTTACACCGAGGATCACAGCTGGCGGCGTTGGAGAATCCGTGGTATACTCCTTAAACTCTGAATCATGAATAGTGAAGTATGGGCGATGATCGGCGCAGTATTTTAAGGGTGCGATCATTCTGAAAAAAATGTTTTTCAATTATACATCATAAGTACGTGATAAAAGTCTTCCTTGAATTTGTTTTATTGTACAGGGTGTCCCATAGGAAATTGCTGAAATTAATCAGCTGTCATTTTTTAATGCATGCAGTTATTGAGAAAACAAATGTTGGAAAGAGGAGAGTCTACAGTTTTTAATGGATATAAATAAAATGTTTGTATACCAGTTTATTTCAACAGTACCAGATTCAATAGTAACTATTAAAAGGATCGTCAATAATATTAAAAATGACATTTTAGAAAAAGTTTTTATGAGTTTTCGTAAAAGAACAGAATTTTGTACAAATTCAAATGGTGCGCACTTCAAAAATATTTATCATTAGTTTACATATGTGATTATTAGCACCTTTTTCATTACTTTTTTCAATTCAAATAAACTGGTATTACTGAAATTAATTGGGATACCCGTACTTACGCTATAAGCGCTTGAACCATCTCGGAGCACGTGGTGGGCGAGCTGGCCATCACGACGATTGGCTCGCTGAGGAGCACCAGTTCCCACAACAAGTGTACATAACTGACAACACTGGCTAAACTCCGAAACATATCGCCTTCATAGGCTGATGTCAGCATCAGTCTTCGTGTTGCGTGTACATTTGGCGCATGTTCCATGGCAGCTATCGAGGGAACAGTGGCTTTGCAATTTTGGTTTGGGATATATGTCTGAAACAAAGTTGAATGTATCCTATAATATAAGCAGAATTTATTTATATTTACATATTAGAGCTATTTTATACAATTTTAGCGTATCTTTTACCTGGAATAACACACCAATGAGGGGTAAATGAACTGTTTGATCTGGAACTGGAGGTGGCCACTGATCGATCTCACGTACCACAGCCTCCATGAGTGCAGTTCCGGCCTCGAAAAATTCCGGCGCGATTAAAGCACACAATTCACCAAACAAATTAACGAACGGCAGTTTCGTAATTATAACAACACTCTGAAAGTGCGATTGCGCAATTGATTACAAAATTCAGAATCACATTCTTGGTTTATTAGCACCATCAATGGCAAACCTTTTGAAAATATCCTCTTGGTAAAGACTTATCCTTCACTTGTCGAAAGTATACGTATCCCCAGTAATAATCTCTGTCGGTTTGTAGAAAAGAAGGTGCCTTCCTATCGTATTCCTGGAGCGCATTAGTTTTCTGCACTACTTTGCCACTTTGCCTTATCCTTACATGATACTGAGTGTCTCCCATGCATCCAGAATTAGAGTCGGGGAAGGCTAAATAACAGACATTGGATTTCTCTTGCTCCGATAATTTAATATGACTTGGATAAATTGCCTGTGTAAAAAAACAATGTTTTTATAGTATTTATAAAATGAGAAATACATTTTTGATTAAAGTAAAAGTAAGATAGTATTATCGTACCTCTATAGCTTGACCTAATTCAAGATCAAAAGTAACAATACATATACAATGCACCCAATTGTTAAAACGTTCCCATTTTTCGAACTTCTTCATTTCCTTCTTAGCATTTATATTATTACCCAGCTCTTTACTTGTCGAACAAGAAGGAACTGACATTGTTTCTCTTTCTACTTATCTCGCTATCAATCTAATAACTAGATTTCATATTAGCATATATTATTCATTATTATACAATCGTGTAATTTTCCTCATGACATTTTTCCCAATTGACTATTAATTGTGACATGTTACGACAAAATGCACATAAAGATTCTAAATTTCTGAAAAAAATATAGACATTTAAATATAAATATTTTACTTAAATAAATTTTAAAAATCATAAATACAAATTCTTTTGTGAAATTAACTTACCACTATAAATGTATATATATCGCATATACATATATACATCAACTATAAATCTGTTCTAGGAAGCTGTTCGCGCTAACTTTGACTATCCTATTCGGACTATCGTTAGTCACGAAATTTTGTACCCTGTTCGATAATGCTCGAAAATATGGAATCTCTACGTATCCCTCCGTTCTCCGAAAATCGCAGACCCTTTGCGTGCAAGGAACGGAGTAGCCACGCATAACGCCGTGTTCGCTCTTCATATGCGTACGATTATACAAATATACCTGGCTACATAGCACATGCGACTGTCAAAATCTCCATATGCTTTATTCTACCACCGGACAACGATCCGTCAAACGGCACGATGACAGCTGGCGCGGGCGGAACAGCTGATAGTTGACATTTGCGCGTGTTCGCCCTCGCTCCGTAGAAATTCTTCATAGTGCGTCTCGTGGATACCGATGAATTATAATTGTTAGGCGTCTGTATAACCTCCGAACATGCGCGAAGAATCCCCGCCTTTTACAATTGACTCGATTACGTCAGATTAAAAAAAATATCACTCAATCCTCTCTCTCTCACGTGAATAAATTAGCCTCATCGTCCGATTATTAGAGACTCTCTCGAACACTTTACGGTGTGTATATGTACGTTTTTCTTTATTTCCTCGTACGTGACTTTCACCGAGGAACTAGCCCAGGAGACATGGCGACATCCTCTTTACAGCTCGCCGCATTCTCAGAATCTCAGCTTTACCTTAATAAAGACACCGCGGAGACTTCTAGTGGCGGATCGTGAAATGAAAAATAATGATGGTTTTGGAGAACACACACAAAAGAAACAAAAATTTATTTTTCTAAGAATTTTCAAGAGATAATATATATAATAATAATAATTAAAAATAATTAATATAATGATTAATGATAATTAATTATTATTTAATTTATTACAATAATAATTTAATATAGTAATTAGTAATTAATATAATAATAATTTTTATATTATTTATTAATTTATTATAATAATAATTTAATATAATAATTAATAATGATTAATATAATAATAATTAATTTATATTTAATTTATTATAATAATAATTTAATATAATAATATTTAAAATGTATCTAACTATATTAATTTACGCTCGAAATATCATTTAAAAAACAATCTATCATATTTAATTTGTAAAAATTAAGTAGCATTTTTTGATCTAATAAAAGAGGTTATATATATTTCTTACATGTGTCCTTTAATATGTTCGAAAATTCATCTGAGTTAACAGGAGAATATATTTTGCGAAGAGGTAAGTAGGTAGTAATACGGCAAAATACGTCTAAAATATGTCCGAAAATTTATTTGAGTTAACAGGATAACATATACTGCGAAGAGGTCGTTATTAGGAAAATATATTTGCGAAGAGGTCGCTATTAGGAGAATATATTTACGAAGAGCAATTTCGATTTCGAAAATGACGGTCGGTAAATTATCAACGTTGGTAAGTTACCATCACCGTCGGTAATTACCGACATTATTGTACCGACTTAACCTCTTTGAAAATATATTCTCCTAATAGCGACCTCTTTGCAAAACATATTCTCCTGTTAACTCAAATAATTTTTCGGACATATTTTAGACATTTTGCCGTACTACTACCTACTTACCTCTTTGCAAAACATATTCTCCTGTTAACTCAAATAATTTTCGGACATATTTTAGACATTTTGCCGTACTACTACCTACTTACCTCTTTGCAAAACATATTCTCCTGTTAACTCAAATAATTTTTCGGACATATTTTAGACATTTTGCCGTACTACTACCTACTTACCTCTTTGCAAAATATATTTCCTGTTAACTCAGATGAATTTTCGAACATATTAAAGGACACATGTAAGAAATATAACCTCTTTTATTAGATTAAAAAATGCTACTTAATTTTACAAATTAAATACTTATGATACTTTTTAATGAAAAAGTTATAATCTTAAATTAAAAATTGTATGAATATTTATATATTTATCAATAAATTTTAAATTTTATAATTATATATAAAAATATATATATATATATATGTATACATATATTGTAAATATAATTATAATTATATATAATTTAAAAACATATTTTAGACATCATAAAGAAATAAATGTCGCGCTTTATCATTAATCTTCTAATACATTATAAAAATATATGAAAAATAATTAAACAAATTTATATCTAATAATATAAAATTGAAATTTATAAATAATTTATAAATATTAAATTTAATTTAAGAAATTTATAATATTAAATTATTAAATTATTTATAATTAAGTTATAAAATTATTATTATAAGAATTATTTTAAAATTTATAAATATTATTTATTTATAAATTTTACATATTTGAAGATATAAGAATTTTTATTTCTAAAATTCACGATTTGTTGAACATAGGCATAAAAAAATTTTTTCGTAAGGCTACAGCTGATGACGACACAGTCCTGACGTCAGCCTCGCGGCTGTCACGTCTCCTGGCGATCTCGACGGATCTTGGTCCGAGGCACGGGCCGCCCTCTCTATAGTTCCTACAGGAACTCTAGCCCTCTCTCGCAACTCGCGGATCAGAGCTACATGCCGTGTCCGGCCGCGGGTGGATCCTAAAATCATCGTCACGGCTGCGTTTCTCCTTCACAAACGACGTTAAACATGAGTCACGGCGTTCGTTCCTGCATTCGGAGGCACCGTCGAGCAGCAACGATCGTCCACAACAACAACTACACGGGTGTGTCTACTAACGAGCCGATCAAGTGTGTCAGTCGCTTCGGCCAGGGTCAAGTATGTCAACCCTCTCGTGGACGCTAGGTACCGGCGTGGATCCACGTCGAGGGACCGCCACGAGTATGTCAGCGGGAAATTCCCAGGATAAGATCATCGCCTGCAACGGCGGGGACGATGTTGTGCCGGTGATTACGCAGCCCACCACCAGGGGCGGCCTCAGGGTCTACAAGATCGTGGTGCTGGGCGACGGTGGGGTCGGCAAATCAGGTATGACTAATCACCAGGTACCAATAAATGACTAATTGAAGCATTTTATTAGACCAGATTCTGTAACGATGGTGGTTTTTCAGCTGTCACTCTGCAGTTTGTCAGTCACAGGTTCCTCAACTATCATGATCCCACTATAGGTGAGTTATTTTTGCCGAGAGAATTCATCAAATTTCAATTCTCAAGTACAAATGTATATAGGATGGAATAAAAAGGATGCGTTTCTGTTTGTACTTGAAGATTGAGGTGGATGCGAGAAGGAAATAATTTTTTTCTCTGATTTGTATAGAGGACTCATATCAGAAACAGGCTGTTATCGACGGCGAGGCGGCTCTCCTGGATATCCTGGACACAGCTGGACAGGTTCGAGATTCTTATGTATGTTAACGATGGCCAAGATCAGCATGCGATTCATTAATACGTTTTCTTCCGTGCGTTCTCAGTTTAATGTTATTACTATTGGGAATGATTCTTTTTTTTTTGTTGCATTGTGCATAGGTGGAATTTACGGCAATGCGCGAACAATACATGAGATGCGGCGAAGGTTTCATGATATGTTACTCGGTGACGGATAGACATAGCTTCCAGGAGACAATGGAGTATAGGAAATTGATATCGCGTGTCCGCGCAAACGAGGACATTCCTCTAGTACTAGTCGGCAATAAGTGTGATCTACAACAACAGCGGAAGGTATATATTGGATGTATTCTCTCTGTCTGTGACAATTGACGTAATAGGATGCTAAGCATAAAATCAATAGGTACTCCAAATTAAATCTAATAATCAAGTTTTATTAGAGAAGATTCGTATATATAATATTCGCAAGAATTTTTATATTACAATTTATAAATATAATTATATATTTTATTTTATAAATAATTATATTTAATATATTAATATATTTCAGTTAGTATATATTTAAGTTAATATATTAATATATTTAATAATCAAGTTTTATTAGAGAAAATTCGTATGGTATAATATTCACAAGAATTAATATTTACACTACTTTCAATTCGAATCTGAATCGAGCATCGAATCTTTTAATGAGAAATTGTATATTATAATTTATAAATATAATTTTATATTTTTTGTGACAAATATTTTATTTTATAAATAAGTTAAATAAGTTAAGTTGTATACATACATATGCATAGATGTGCAGAAAGTATAAATAGATTTTTTTCTTAGAGTTTTAGTACTATTTGTAAAAGACTTGATTTCTTACTAGAAAATACTTATAAATGCTATTTCGAGTTATCTTGAAGAATTTACAATACTATTACAGATTCGATTAATTCGCAAATGCATATGTATGAAATATTATTTCTTATAAGTATTGTTCAAATCCTAGAAAATGTAACTTAAAATGATTTAATATATATTATATATACTATTAATTTAATTATTATATATATATATATATATATATTTATTTATTTATTTATATACATAATTATATTTAATATATTAATATATTAAATTTGACTCGGATTTTTAAGTACACATGTTGAACTTCTATCTCTAACAACGAAACGACGATCTCTTTTACATATATATATGAACTCATAGACATTATATATTTCAGGTGACCACGGAGGAAGGCAAGGCACTTGCGGAGGAGCTCGGCTGTCCGTTTTACGAAACATCCGCCGCGCTTCGACAATTCGTGGACGACGCCTTTTTCTCTCTGGTTAGGCAGATACGCGCCAAAGAGAGATCCCGCAACTTGCATCGCAAGCGCAGCCGTTGGTGGCGAATCCGCTCGATATTCGCTTTCATCTTTCGACGGAAGCAGAGGCACGCTTTGCATTATTCACCCTAAACACAAACCAGCAAAGTTTCGATAACAAGATCTATTAGTGAGACTGTTGAACCAATAGACGATATAGACCAAAATAGTAAAATGACGAGAGTAAGCGCCGATCACAACGAAAAGTAGATATTACAGATTTTTTTTTTCACATACCATATATATGTATACATATATATGGATTCCCTCGTTTATAGAGACTGACAATTCGTTAACATCTCACTGCCTTATATCGTTGACCCCTTCCTAATACAGCAGAGTAATGAAATTGCAAAACGGAGAACAGAGAGAGACTGGAATAATGCATACTTGTATTTATTTTAGATCTGCGATCTCTGATTAATCCATTATTCACGCCCACATAATGCTCAATACGAGAGAAACATGAAACAATATTAATTGTTAACTTTCCGCAGACTTACTTCCAGTTTTCTAAGATTTCTTCCACAATTTTAATTCAATTAAATTGATAATTCAAATTTATTCTCACGAAGATTAAGTGGCGATAAATAAAGATAAACGCGGAGCCTAAAGCGAAACATTCAATTAATTTTGGAAACAACGTCTTCAGCGAATCATTTTTTGGTAGTTGATGTTTAGATTCTAGTTTACCATTAAAGTAGCTGATCATGTGACCAAAGAGAAATATATAAAGCGTATATACGTTAAGAAGATTCTTAGCAATACAAAAGAAGGAGGAAACAAGATATTATATAAGAGTTTTACAATGCAGATTGTTGCAGTTTTAATTATTAACATAAAGGAATATAAGGAAATTAAATTTTTTATTTATTCTAATTTAATTCACTGTAAATATACAAGAAATATGTAATATGATTTTAATAGTTAGAGAATACACTGCTACAAATTATATATAATATATGAAAGCTATATAAAAGTTGCAATCAGTTGCAAAGTTTAGAACTGTTATGTATTATGCGAATGACACGTATGATCTCTTTAAGATATCTCAAAGGGACATTTCTCAATTAAAATACATGCGAATGTGCGTCTGTCGTAGATATAAATAAATTAAAAAAAAGAAAACTGGCAATACATGCAAATATATTAATTTTGCAGATTGTGGAGAAGTTGGAAGAAAAAGTATCATGTAGACATTAAAATAATTAGAACTCGTATCTGCGGTATAAATATTATAGAAAAACAAAAAAGCATTTGAGAATGCAATTTAACCTTTATATTAACAATCACAAATATGCAACTCTTTAAATATTATGTAATTATGCTTCATATATTTTAAAAGAATATAGACAAGTCACTAATTATTCCTTAATTTGCTATTTAGTCATGAACAGAGCTTCGCGCTAATACATATAAATACAAAAGAAACAAGAAATCATAGACATAAGCCCACACATAATAATTATCTAGTCGTTACTTAATTTTTCCTAGTCACATTTTGCATTTTGTTGTAATAATATACTTTCTTTAACTTATATATTAATTTAATCATGAAAAAAACGTTGACTAAAATTACATTTACATTTTTACATAATAATTCTCAAATGCTGAATGTATTATAATATTTATTTATGATCCATATTGTGATTATATACATGTGTTATATATTAAATTATATACAACACACACACATATATATATTTTATATATATATATGTATGTATTGTTAAATAAATGTTATATAACATTTATTTTATAATATTCATATATATAATTCTCAATATTTTCAATACTGATTATTAACAAGTTCTGATATAATTTGTTTCATAATACACAGTGAGAGAGTGTAGCTATTTGTAGCAGCAAATACGAAGGTATTACTGGCAGCATTGACAATGATATATATAATTAATATAGCGTAATTGTATTTTTAGATTAAAATAAAATATATGAATAAATGTAATAATTGTATGTGTTTAGAGAAAAACTGATATAATATGTGAAAAAGTATTATAATTGTCTAACGATTAGAAATATTACTGAAAACCCGAAAGAGTAGCTATGTTAGAGAAAAGTAAAATCGCCATAAAGAGAAAGTAGCGCACACATGAAGAATTTAGATAATATTGTTGTTTTATATATATCGTCCGATTCGTTTTATTTATCAGATAGAAATTAAATAGAGATTAAGCATAATATGTGACGCAGATTATGGATCTAATACGTGATAATAAGCATATTGTGTGACTGTAATGCAAAATGTAGGAAAAACACAAAGATATATATTATATATATAAAGAACAATAACATATTTAATTTACGAGGACAATATGATAATCAACGATCATTTTTTGAAAATTATTACATTTTATTTAACTTAATCATATATGCATATATATATATAATTATTATATATATATTTATAATTTCAAAAAGATTAAAATTAATAGTATGTATAGAATATTAAGAACAAATGGACCACACATGGGTTGACGCATGTAATTTTTTACTTAATATACATATAAATAGTAAGCTCGATATATATCATACTTATCGCTGTATTTCGAGCAATGTATCGCACAATGTAGCACAAGTCAACATCACACATATGTAAATTTTAGCGATCTTGCGATATCCAGATGTTATGAAAAAAATGTTTACGTAAGCTAAATATATTTTCAATATACACAGGGTCTAATACGAAACTTGTATATTTCACACATTATGGATACAAAATCATTTTACGATAAAATATAATCTTTCATGAATATGCGAAGACATAAGACTTTGGAATAATCAACTGATGCAATATAATGCCTAATTAATCACAAATATTACAAATTGAATTGTTACTTACCTTTATTAACCGCAAGTGTAAAAATACTTTGTGTATATCAAAATTTGTCTTTTTTTTATAAGACTATAATAAAAATTGGCAAAGAAAGATAAAAACGAGGATATTTATTTAATAAAAAACTTCTTAAAATGTTATATTTATATATATATATATATATATATATATATATATATATAAAACATTCACAATTTATTACATATTACACTTTTTCAAGTGGCACATAACATGGCTTATTAAAAAATCATTGAAGATATTTTTTCTTATCAAATATTAGTAATGCTTTTGCATTCCTTTTTAGATCTTTACATGATCCCAATCAATCCGTTTATTGCACAAAAATTCCACATGGTTGCAAATATATATGCATATCAAAAAGCAATAAAACTTATGTCTTTTGGCACATACATACATACACTTACTTTGTAGTTCTTTTTATCCTCACAATAATGTAAACAACTAGAAATATTTTAAAAATAATAACATGTGCATAAAAAAACTTGTATCACAAACAATTAAGTATGATACAATGAAATGAGAGCGAAATACACTTGATACTAAAAGATCATCATAATCAGATCAGAAATATTGTATTTAAGATATCCTATATTTCCCTAATTATATTTTAACCTAGCTCCATTAGCAAAAAATTGCTAAAGTTATTTTCTTCTAAAATATATATTGCGTGATATATAGTTTTATAATTAATATCCAGGTTTCTTTGATGTACCCTGTGCTTTTTCCTCCTCCCCATAATTGTTTGGAAGTAGCATAGTCTCTTCTGTGCTTTGAATGTCATCTCCATTGTTATCTATATAAATAATAAAAAATAAAAAAAAATTTATTGCTGATTGCAGTTTGCGTCCTCTCTTCTCATTTCAAGTTCAATTTTTTACACTAAGAATAATAATAATACATAAATATAAATAAACAAATATATATATATATATATTAATAAAAAAAATTATATATATATATATATATATATATATATATATAATAATTTTTATTTTATCTTATTAATTATACAACATATGTATATATGAATAAGAGATTTTATAAAAAGCGCTAAGAATAAGTCGAATTCTTCTCTTTGTGTAGAACGTCATGATTATTTACTGCACTTCAGCAAAAGTAGAAGTGTTAAATGCGTGTATGTAAAGTTTTAATTACCACGTGCACGATTCTCGGGATCTTCCAAATCGTCGGCAACTGCAATATCCTGCTCTGCGGCATCGTTCGAGGTGCCATTGACTTGTTTCGATTCCGTTTCAACTGAAAGCCACGTAAGCTAAATTACTATTACTAAAATAAAGAAGATTTCGTACGTATTTCTGAAAACGTTTTTTAATTATGACGTTATTACAGAATGATAACTCTAAATAAGAGTTATCACACACACACACACACACACACACACACACGCACACACACATATATATATATTAGACACATTAGTAATTAATAATGCAACTTCTCCAACACCAGTATATTTCATGCACATTAATAGAAAATATGTTAGTTTTCTAATGTCAATGTTTTTAATAATAATCACTATTATATGTATGTATGATTACATACAATCCTTTTATATGTGATATAAAAAGAAGAAGCGTTTTAAATGTGAAAGTATTATATGTATATTTAATATTATTGGTAAATGTGTTTAACATTTTTTGAAGAGTTGAATTATAGTTTATCATATCGTTTTTTATTGTTCAACATATTTTTTACAAATACAAATCGAAATTTGCGCGCGTAGTTTACATTTTAATGCTTTGTGTCGTTTGTATAAGGTTTTATTATAAATATAATATAATACTGTAACAAGCTGCACAAGTAAATCGCAGAATTACTAGTAAATCTTATAACCGTCTGTTTATAACTTAGCTAAAAATCATTCAACAATCCTGGATATGCTGTATCACAAAATATCCAATATATAAAAAGATTTACTTTTATAATGTACAATTTAATATATCCTTGTTCTCTTCTTATAAAATTATTTTAAAAAGAAAAAGCATATTAAATTATTTAATACTAAAATGATAAAAAATACAATCTCGTAGAAAAATAAATTTCTTAATAGCACTTGCATGGCACTTGTTAATTTTGAAATTATTCCTGCTTGAATTGAATTATATATAGCACACAGATAAATGAGAAAAAGTTGATTTTGTGTAATATGAAAAAGCTAACTAATTGTATAGCATTTCTATTGCATAAAGACGGACAATCTCGTGTTACAATTACAGAATACATCTGCCTAATGTGAAAATTTTGGTTGAAGATTAGAGAAATAATATTTTGCGTGTCGTTACGGAGAATGGAAACGAAACAGAACCGAATACCGCATCACCACAAGTTAAAAGCAGCGGATACAGAGATTTGTCCTTAATAGAAGAGGTTTCACTTACAAGTGTGTATCGAAAAAAAAAGTGATTTATATACAAATATCTACTGCGAGTCTCTCTTTATAATCTCATTTCATGTCTGTGGCAGCATTCTCTCGCCTCGCGGACGGAGAAAGGTATCACTACCTTTCTTCAACATAGTCACTGAGAAACGAGGAGTTTGGCGCACAGCACCGGGTGGGTCTGACGGTAGGATCGGAATTCCGTGGAACTTCAAACCCCGCTGACCAGCTACGGATACTCTTACAGCAGACTCCGGTATCAGACGCAAGTGAGGCTTGTTAACGACCACTGTCGTTGCTAGATCAGCAAATCCCGACAATAATCTTATAATATTGAGCCAGTGTAGTGCAAATAAATTGGGAACGATTGGCTTGTGTTCGCGTTAATTCCTGCGTCAGTCCAATCGTAGAACTAATATGAAAGTATCAACGAGAATTCGAAAAAAAAGACTGAAGAGCATTTTTTCTCGCTGTTGAAGCAGGATGCAATTAGCGATCTAAGTTAGCAAACACCTCAATTCGTATAATTAATACTACTAATGCAATGCAAATAGTATTTCTTGTACTGTGTATAAATTGCTCAAAGTTAAGAAAATTTTTACTATTATTAAATTGAGATATTGTAATAGAGAAAATATATAAATTTACAGGAACAAACAAAATTTATCATGTAATAATAATAAACTTACGTGGCTGGAGATTCGGAGTCTCTTTCTTCTCAGGAGGCGAGTTACAACTGAGTTTGAACTGATCTACCTCCCCCTTTAGCTGTAAAAAATAAATTATATAAATATTTCTCAATATTTGTCTTACAAGAAAGTTCATATTTGGCTCTCCATTATTAAGAAAAAAAAACTCGTACTCTGTCTACTTCATCTTGAAGTTTTTTATTCTCATCCCGCTTCACGTCTAATTGAGTATTAATTGTGTCCTTTTCTAATCTTAATGTTTCCAGAGTCGCAGTTTTAGTGGCATCCAGTTTGTTTAAAGAGTCCAGTTCACTTTTACACACAGTAACAGAGTCCTCGAGCTCCTCATTCTTCTTCTTGAGATCCATTTGCTGTTCCAAGCGAACGTGCAACGTAGCCAACTCATCTTCCGTATGCTTGTACCTTTGTTCCAAGTTACCACGCAAGGTTACACACTGATCTCTCTCTTCAGCACTGAAAGAGAAAAATCAATTTCTATGTTAGACTACAAGAATGGCACACAATCTTGATAAATAGGTATAAAAATAACCGAAGAAACAATTGAGGCAAACATAACGTCATGCAGATGTACTGTGCAAGTAAGCCACAAGAAAAGATGGTTGCAAAAAGGAAATCCATATATATTGCTGTTTATAACATAAATTATATAATTAATATATAATCACAAATTCTCACATACATAAAATATATTTAAAAAATTGAAGTTTTCGACAATCTATGACTAGTTTCATTATCACAGCTATCTTCATTCTACACATTTCATTTTGTATAACGCAGTAACATGAAGCTTTGACGATACAATTTAATCACACAATTAAAACTTATATCAATGATTATCATTCTTGTCACAGTGACAATGTATAATAATCCAAAAGCAAATGCAACTGTCAACCTTGTCATCGAACTGTCAAACTGTCAGCTCTCACCTGATCTTGAGCTGCTCGTTCAGATCGTCGATCTGCCTGACGAGCTCCAGGTTCTCGGACGAAAGGGTCCACCAGTTGCAGATGAGCATGAGGCACGCCAGTAGCAATCCTCCGACCAGAAGAGGCGGGCATCTGCCGCCGCCGACCCTCATCCCGTCGATTCCCATCACTAGATTCCGTCTTTCGGTCTCGTCCAGCCAACTGTCGCGCTCATATATGGAACATATGTCGCGTCCGGGCAAATCCGCGGCTAATATACAAATGGAATAGCTTCTCTACGTGTCACCTCGCTCTCTCGTGTCGTGTTCTCTGAGGAAACACGAGCCGCACGTAACCCCACTCTCTCCGAGACTGGAGCCTCGCACTCGGGCAAACGTCAGGTAGACGTCGTCGGCGTTTGGTGTTTGTGACGCGGCTTCTCTCTCTCTCAGGGAATCCACCGCGCGACAGCCATCTGAAAATCACTGTTTCTTGTAAATTAGGGGCGTACTTTGATATCACGTCGCGGATGCCGGCGACGATATGATATGGCGGGTTTTGATTCTGATAGACGTGTATATATGTATATACTGACATTTGACATTACGCGCCAAAATACTTTTTAATTAAAAATGATAAATTGATAGATTGTCGGAAATTTGATTCTCTTCTGTCTTCTCTGACAAATATATTTTTATTATACAATATATATACATATATAATATATAATATAAATAAAATATATAATTTTCCTAAAGAGAGATAAATATTTTAATCATGCATATAATTTAAAAAAATTTATATATATATATATATATATATATATATATATATATTATAGAATATAAATAAAATGATGCATTATTAATTGAATGACATAATTCTTCGTCATGTCATTATTTTTTAATTTTTAATATTAAATATATCTAAAATAATAAAACCTGATTTTTCATTTTGAATTTTTTTTTCAATTTTTTTGTCGAAATTATTTTTTCATTTGTTTATAAGAAATATATTATTTATTAGAAATATAAATGTTGCGAGATTGTGACAATTAACGATCAATTTTTTCTTATTCTTAATTAATTTTTCTCTTTAAATTTATTTTGTATATTTTTCTGAGCAAATTAAAATGCATGACTTTTAAAATACTCCGACTTGCATAATATGTATAGCTATAATTTTTGAGATCTCCACGATAATAAAAAATGACTAAATTGACGCTTATTTTTACTTATCTATTTATGTCATCGTTATTTCTGTTTGACAAATAAGTACTCATTATATCATACTTACACATAATAACAAAAGTCGCAACATGCAAAACATTTACGCATTCCTAATTTAATCTCCATAATAATAAAAACAAGATAAAATAAAATTGCACATATAACTTCATAATTTTTACAGAACACATGCGACTCTTATGCTAAATGAATAAGGAACAAATTTTCATTGCGTGATATTTTAAATCAATTAAAAATCTATGTAGATTAAAAATATTCTTGAATTATTAATCAATTTTTTATGACTATATACATTTCTAATTGACAATAAAGGATAAGAGTGATTAATTTCTAAGTCTTTGATGGAAAGATATATGGATTTACAGTTTTTAATTTGCATCAATTATATCCTCTTTTATTCCCTTTTATTTGTGAATATGCATAAAAAGTAGTCACTTTTTTCTTTACAACTCTGTTTGGAATAATCAATTTAATTTAGCATTATTTGCAATTTAAATTGTCTGAAAGTAATTTTATGCTAATGTATATATAGAACAGAGAGCAATAAAAATAATTTGACTCGTAAAAGAAGCATATTATAATATAATTAATGCATAGAAAATTTCAAAAATAGGAGATCAATTTTCTCCTTATCATAATCTTATCTTTATAAATAGTCATACTTGTATATTTTAATGCATATTAAAAATATTGTTTCCTTAGAATTAATCTTATTTTTATTTGTGTAAGATTGTCTCAGAAATGTCAAAAAGAGAAAAGTTTTTAATTCCCGCCTTAAAAATTACAAACTATCTATATCTAATCATTGAAATTATAATATTATATTATATAATATAAAAAACATCTTTATACAAAACTTACATTTATTTTCTCTCTCTCTCTCTCTCTCTCTCTCTCTCTTCTCTTTCTCTTTCTGTATATTTCTTCTTTATTATAATATGTATTTAATACATCTGTTTTATTTCAGAAAAGTTACATGACCAATTAAAATTAAAATAAAAAAAATGTATGTAAAATGCAGCCAATTTCGTGGATAAAAACTAATGTAATTATTGTTTTACCGCACTTACGACGTACAATTAATTAACGCCGAATTCGAATTATCTAGGATAGATCGTTTGTTAATTTCTTCGTTGCGATTCTGTTCGCGACCACGATGAGACTGACGGACTTTATAAAATGCATTTTCCACTTACGCGATGCATCATCACCTGCTGCGATCAAAAGACCCTGACGCTTATCTGCAATAATAATAGGATTCGTTTATTACCCAATTATTTATACAATATTTTTTTTCGTATCGAGTCTTATAGAGCTTATCAATTTATCTTGCGATTTTTTATATTAATAATTATTTATAATGATTTTTTTAAATTATAAATATTATTAAATAATTGTAATATTATTTAACAAAATAATAATATAGAAATATAATAATAGAAAATACGTAAGTCATATGTTATTTTTTTAGAGAACAAAGAGAGATAATATTCAACTCATTCAGCAATGCGTTTTGTATTTCAATATGCTTTGCAATGCATCAGAGTTGCGTAAAAACCTATTTCGAAAGCCAGCAATATTAACTGCGCTTTTGTCTCTATTATTTCTTTCCCACATACTTTTTATCCTTGTTTATGTTTGAACATGAATGAAATATATCGTAATAGCTCTCTATGCGGCGTGTCTTATTTTTCTTTGGCATTTTGTGTGTCAGACGATTATTAAATCGTTGAAGAATTAGTCTTCACAACCTGTATTTCTCGAGTTATTATACTGATATTTCTTAGAAACGTGAGTTGGATCCAACTTCTACTTATTTACATATAGGGAATAAATCGAGTTAAATAAAAATAATAATAATAATAATATAACGAAAGTAAGGGACAAAAGTTTTAAAGACAAATTTAATTTAATTTTACCTGCAATTTTGAAATTGCATCGAATATATATTATTATTGTAGATAAATCTTTATTTGGATTTTTTGACGAATTTGCCATCAAATTCGATTAATTTTTTTTTTTAATCAATTTATGATAAGAGATCTAAAAAATGCATGTACTATATTTTATAATCATTTCAGCACTATATATGCGATTATATTAATTAAAATAAAATACATATATCTCATCGAGTCTGTGATTTTTTATGTTAATTTTATAAACGCATATCCGTGTATTACCTAATGAGCTATTCAAAGAATTTATTTACAGAGTGATTCCGTTAATCTCTAAAAGCAATCATCATTGCAGTAATTTTCTATGCCTTCTTCTCACTTTCAACTCGCCGCTTATTTAATCTCGAATATGCATCGTTAAATCCTCCAGTAATTCCTCTCACTCGCGTATCATCCTGACATAATGCAGATAATTTATTACAAAATGTATAATAGTTACAGTAGTAATTTTATGCTCGTCATTATATATTGTGAAACTTTATTCTTGTATGCATATTTATTATAAATGTATTACCGCAGAGAGAGAAAGAGAATAATATATTATAATTTTGTTATGTCAACGACATATGCACGTATTCTTATCAAAAAATATAAATCCGCTTATGCATGCAGATTTTATATATGCAATGCAATTAATATATATCCATTTAGCATATATATTAATTATATTCACTGTTATTAAAATATCCACACACATTGCAATTTTTTAAACTTCTACATCACCTAACCTTAATTAATTGTTAATTTAGATTATGTCATTTCGATTCGTACTTGACGAATAATGCATATATATTATGCAAAAAATGCACTTCGAGATCTGTCATCGCTATATATACAATAATTATATATATTCTAATTGTAAAAGTTAATAACTCACACATATTAATTCTTTTTCAGATTTTCCCATCACGATTAGTCGGCCACTTTACAAGCATCTCGTAGTAAATACACCTCTTTGCAATATATGTTTTCCTAATCCATACTTCGCGAAATGTGTTTATTATCCGTGTCGCTGGGAATCTGACAAGTTAACAGGAAAACATGTGTCGCGAAGAGGTATGTATTAGGAGACTATATTGTGCGAAGAGGTGATCAAAAAGCCAGGCGATTTTAGAGCTTATCGAAGGATAAATTATAGCTGGAAAACTATATTACCGACTAAAGTTTGCCAAAAATAAAAAGAATATTATCGACAGTCGGTAGTAATGCAGTCTAGGCGCGCAATTATTGAGTTTTTCAAAATCTCCTCGCACAATATGGTCTCCTAATACATACCTCTTTGCGACATATGTTTTCCTATTAACTTAGGTCGGTCGGTGGCGCCAAGAATTTGCCAAGTATGGATTAGAAAAACACATATTGCAAAGAGGTTTTAATTTCAGGCGTTTTAATTTACGAGCATATATTGCGAATTGTTTGTAATAAATGGACGATTAATCAAAATATGGAAATTATTTTCTATCACAATTATTAATTTTTATAATTAATGCGTAATTATGCAATACGTATTGTATATCATGATAGACCTCGAAACGCATTTTTCATGTAACATATTCTAAGAGAATCAAAGTAATATAAATCTAAATATTATTTTTTTTAGTCACAAATATATTTTCAACGCTTCATCGCGTTCATCAAAAAACTTTTCAGTAATCTAAATAAATCGGGTTGAGCATGCAATAATACATTAACTGTAAAAGTTATTAATTTATTAATAGGATAAATTTGTCAAGATTGCATAAATAATGTATTTTTTGCATAATTCATTTAATAAAGTAAGAATCGAAGTGACATAAATTTCGTAACAATCTATCAGAATAATAATTAGTTCTTTACTCTTTTAATTAGTCACAAATCTATATATAATCAAATATAAAAATATATATTATTATATATAAAATGTCGATTTATGTTTTTCTCTTGTACAATTTCTGTCTGTATGTATAGGAATATTATAAGAATTGAAAAAATAATTACAAGAATAATTTTTGCATCGTTTTTTATAGAGAAAGCAAAATTTTTAAAAAATGAAAAAAACTTGCTCGTACATAAATTATATATTATATAAATTTATATATATTATATATGAGCAAGTTTTCTTTTATAAGCATACAGAAATTATATATTTAAGAAAAAAACATTATAGACATCTTATATAATTATGTATATTTATATCTAATTCTATATATGAACTTTTTCGAGAATATCTATTCGCTATTAATTTTTATTAATTTTAAAAAATAATAAATATTTATATTCCGTGTGACACTTTTAAAGAAAAAAAATCAAAATAATTTTCCTAAAGCATTTACAATTGTAATCCTACATATATTATATACATATATAAAATACATGAAAAGTATAATGAAGGTAAAGATTTTATTAATATGTGTATAAGAAATTTATCTATATTTATTTGCACGATATACTTCGGTGAAGAGTATAAATGCAGTGGTAGCAATTAGTAGCGATTTACAAACAAAGGGAATAAGTGACAATTTCAAGACATTTACATTCTTTTTATGCTTGTATAGATACAGAATATTGAGGAGAGGAGAGAGAGAGAGAGAGAGAGAAGAGAGTGTGTCACATCTCCTGTCAACAAAATATACAAACAAAATTAAACAGCTGATATAATCCCTTATTGATTAATATAGTCCCAGGATAGCAAATGCACGTTATTTGTCGTAAAAAAACAACATGCTTGCTATCTGAGATAGCAGTAACATATAAAGACATTCGTGTATTCCTTCTTTTTAAATATAGAGGATCAGCAGCAAGAGAGAAACACAAGATTAAAACAATGCGTTTGAAAGTATATACCATTTAGTTATCCCATTTACATTATACATCGTATATCTTCATTTGTATATTTCCAGGAAAATGCTTCCAAGATCTCGGGTTATGAACCTATTTAAAGGTAAACAATTGCAATTGTACACGTACTTAATGCAAAATCCATCTCTGGAAACTCGAGAGAGAGAGAGAGAGAGAGAGAGTACTCATCATCTTGCTATAATATATAGGCTCCTTAGCAAAGTAAACTTTATTAACGCAAAACTTCAATATAAACAAATTGAGCGTATGGAACGCTGTTAGTAGATGGTGTTCTACCTTGCTTAAGCTATAAATGGATAACGGAACGCATTCATATATATAAAATATTATATAATATATATATATTACATAATATAATAATATATAATATACATTATTATATGATATATAATATGTATATCTTATATATAATATATATACATATGCATATTTATGAATAATCTAAAATAAAATATGCGCTCTTAAATTATTGCAGCTTCAACATAGCCCCAAACTTGACCGAGAGAAACAAGACACAGCGCAATTAACTCTTCTCGGTTTTCCTGTTTAAAAGCTTATCCAGTATATTTTGATTAAAATATAATATTATGCTCGCAAAAAAAAGTTAGGGATATATATATTACATGTCTTCCTCCTTATGTTTCTATCTTCCTTACCTTTTCTTTTCATGTGTAAATTAATCTTCCTTTATTCCGTCATTTACTTTTTTGTCTTAAAGACTATCAAAGATTAGAATTTAAACGGTAAAAGACATACAGTCTACTGTTATTTAGCTACATCTGTCATACTCAAAAAGTTCGTGATGTCGTTCGTTGGTGTCTAAAAATATCCTTAACTTTCCTTCTGGAGGTCTTTTTTTATTCTTTATATATTTATCCGCTTTATATATGTATATCAATCATTCTAGAGCGCGGATCCTTAGAGACATTCATTTAATTACATATAGCAATTCATTTAATCTATACTTTTATACAAAATATCTCTGCATCGTTGCAATTGTTTGACAAAAAAAAACATATGAGTAACTTAGTATTACGCACGTTCGATAGATATATTTAATTTTACATTACATTGTGTGTATGTATGCATGTGTGTGTATAATATTTTGCTCTCTCTCGATAACATATTCCTGTGGCTATTTTTGTTAACAAAAGTTCTTCGGAATAATGTATAGCACCGACTGTCACCTGTCAAAACTGGATCGACGATACAATACAAAAAAAGAGCTTCCATTATCTGCGGGGGAAACACAAACGAGCAGATAAAAATGGCAAACCAATCAAGATTGACTATGTATGTATAATATAATATATATATGTGTGTGTGTGTGTGTGTTTGTATTTTCCAATTATATATTCTACCCTTATCAAAAAGTATTAATTTTTATTTTCTCGAAATATCATAAACACATTTTTTCTCAGTTCACACAAAAGTTTTATATATATGTACACTAAAATATACCTACATTTTCAGAAGCGAGCTTTCTCTGCCATCGTGCAATATGATAAATATAAAAAGAATTGCAGATGCTCCCTAATATTAATGATATATTAGAAAGAATTCAAATGTATATTTTGATAAAATATATAGATCATTCTTTTGTCGAATATCTATTTATATATATATGCATATATATTTAAAATGTATATATACATACATATATGTAATTGTTTAAACAAATTATACGAAGTATCTGAATACGAGTCCTGTTCAGCTAATTCTATCATTCCACATAGCATCTGCCTCTTCGTCAAAGAATTATTAAATAATTGTGAAAATCATTTGAAACACGCGATATCTCTGTGATTTGTTTATGCCGGCGTTTGTGAGCATTTAGATACGAAATTTTATGCCCTATCGTTCTTCTTAAGAAACGCACTATAAACATGGAAAAACTAACTTTCAAGACAGAAAGAAAAAAAAAAGAAAAAATCACCTCATCACCATCTAATTAACTTGTGTCGTCTTTGCAGAGGATTCTCGCGCATTCGCACGCGAAAAAAAAGGATGACGGTGTGAGTAAGGAACGCGATACAGAAGGACGTCCATATACAGAACATTAAAAATACTTTTCTTTATAGTTCTTACACGTAGATTAAATCTAACTATATAGACACACACACCTTTTTTCCCCCTATCCCTCTCCTTTTTTCTTTTATCGAGCATTTGTCGCATTTCTTTTTCCATTTTCACTTATATATCACGTTGTTTAAAACTCGATAAATACATATTGATTTCGTTTTTATCGTTGTGTTTAGGCGTGTGTAAAATTAAATAATGAGTAAATTATCGCTCGCGCGCGGGACTTCACGGTTAGTAAACGAGGCCAGGGAGAGTACGGGCTCACGAGAAATTGGTTGTCTCCATCTTCATCTTCTTCTGCGGGGAGGTCACCTGCGAACGTAGGTCGGCGCCGGATCTCTTCACCTGAGGATTACTTTTTACAGCGGTGGTTGGATCTGCTGATAATGAAACACAAAAATGTATTTGTTCAAATGCATTCTTTTTCACAAATTCATTAGGCTGTCTACTCAAATTTTATAAAAAAAACTCCGTGGCAAACTAAAAATATAAAACAAAAATAATTTATTATAAACGTCTCAGAAAATACTAATTTATTTATTTATTAATTTAGTATCTATTTAATTGTTTATTAAATATAAATAGAGTACTAATTTTATTTAAATATTATCTATTAAAAATTTAAACAATTTTCTGTAAAATTTATAATTTATATAAGATCTTTATACTAAATAATAGATTGTCAATAAAAAAAATTTAATAAAAACTTAAATAATGCCAAGATATTATTAGACATATATTTTTTAAGACATATATTAGACATATTTTTTAAGTAATTTTAAATAAAATTAATAAAAGGACATTTTTTTAAATTCCCTGAACTTAAATTTCATGAAAATTCCCTGATTTTTTCAAGGTTTTGTTCGAGAATATACATTCTGGATTTACAAACAGACGAATGAAAATTCGCGCTACCAACCTTGCAGCCACCTGACTTGAGTAGCTGGTCCGTATCCCTTGTCGTTTCGTGCTGCTATTCTAAAGATTATGGCCGGTTTCGTAGTGGTGTCCACGTGAGCGGCATTAAGGGCACTATTGTTCACCGAACAGGAATTACTCGAACCGCAATAAACTCTAATAAAGGCTAACTGATTTGGATTCGACACGACTGTTTTTGGTTCTCCGTCATTGTTCAACGCGGTACTCCGCACTGCCAAGTAAACGGAATATTCGAGGATGGGACCGACGTTGCTCGGCGGCGGTTCCCAAGAAATCTGCGCGCCGTCTGCGGACTTGGATATTTTTATAGCGCTCGGTGCACCCGGAAATCCCGGAAGACACGTCTTGAATGCTGCTACCTGCGACGAGAACGAAAAATTAACAATGTTTCGTTACAGAAATATATTTTAAATAATATTCATAATTGTAGAATTAGATTCGTTTTTTACCTCGCTCCAGGCACTTTGTCCGCAAGTATTTACAGCGGCGACTCTAAATTTGTAGGCAGTTCCAGGCTCTAATGGTACTTTGACTCTTCCCTTGAAGACATCCATTGTCAAGGATTGTGTAATATCTAGCGGCTCGTCGCCAGGAAGAAAATAATGTTGGACTGTAAAGGTGGTGCCCTTGATCACTCCGACGTCGAACCATTCCGCTTCCTTCTTCTCCTCCTCGCTCTGCAAAAGTATCAATGAACGATATACAATTTTTGCCATCATTTCTTGCATGTTCTCAATTTTTGCCATGTATTTTTATAACTGAATCTTAAATTAAAATATTATTAAAGTAAATTCTACTTGAAATTGGAGTGATTTTGTTGATATTTTATTTCCACAATGGGATTTCTTAATTTGCAAGAAACCCTTTATTTTTAATCGCTTATAACTCGAAAATTATTGATGCCTCAATATTTTTACTGAGAAAAAATTGTCTCCAAATAATAAGATCTACTTGTATATTTTTGGTGTGACACCTTATGTCAGACACCCTGTGTAGCACACTTTTATGTACTTAAGTACTAATAAATACAATATATTGCGATAGGATCTACCTGTTCGCTTTTAACTTTTATCGGCGACTCGGCCGATCCCAGGGCAGCGGTGGCCAACGTCGTCAGAGCCGTCGAGTCGTCTCCAGTTTCCGATCTGGTATCGTTGAGCTTCTCCTGTTTCAGATTTTCTCTCTTCGAAGACACGAGCAATTCGTCCTTCACTTCCATTTTCACAGGAGTGTGTCCTTTCGGTGTACCTTCCGTTTCCTTCTCCAGAGGCAGAGCTATACCGTTGATCGATGATATCGGTAGATCGGTCGATTTGCTGTCCTGCTCCATAGAAGACTCGTCGGTCGGTTCCAGTTTCATTTGTACACTTGGTGCAACGACGGGAGTCGTTACCGGTGTCACATTAACCGCATCTGTCGCGGTCAACGTGTTATCATCAGCGATTATCGGCTCACTGGCGTCTTCCGTCTTCACGAAAGAACCCTCGGCTGGAAGCTCGGCAGATTCTGGCTCCACATTTTCATCCTTTATCTTCTCAGCCTCCTGAGTTTCATCTTTGGGAAGACACAACGTGTCCGTATCTTCGGTGGATAGATTCTCAGTCGTCGAGAGCTTTTCGTCTTCGACAGATTTGAGCTTGGCATCCTTGGGACTTCTATCACTCTGTTGGGTTTCGTCAGTTTCCATCGTTGTTGGATCTGCGTCAACTGAAGCCGTCTGTTGTTCAGATGCAGCTTCCGCAGGCAATTGTACCGAAGGTAAATCGAGTTTCGTCGTTTTCACTTCGTCATTTAACGCTTTAATATCCGCCTCCTTCTCACTCGGTCGTCCCTTATCATCAGCACTGCTTTCGATAGGTCCGCTCTCGTCATCAGCTGGATTATCAGCTTTCTTCGAAACTTCATCAGCGGTGGCAGTTGTAATCGATTCGGGAAGCTCGGTCGTTGCAGTTTCCGGCACGGCGGCTTCCTCTTTTATCGTAGACTCTTCTGTCTTAACATTTTCAGCCTGAAGATCAGCGTCGTGTTCCGCGACTGTCGCCGGTTCATCAATGTTAGCCGATTCGGTGGCGCTTTCCGAGGCAGGTCCATCGTCTACGTCCATCTTTTCCTCGTCGTCCGATAATAGAGTATCTATAGGTCCGTCTACTTGCGGAAGTACAAAGTTTCCGTCGCCGTCGACCTGCATCGGTTCACCAGCGCCCATCTGCGAAACCAGGGCGGCCGCTGTGGTCGCCTCGTTTCCGTTACAGCTGTCCTCTATCTTGTCGTCACCGCCGGCACCGTCGTCCGTGGCTACCATAAATGACAAGCCGCCGGACGGTTCCTGAACTGGATCTATCAGACCTGCTTCTGCCGCCAACGCAGCTAATGCGGCATCGGTAGTAGCTGGGCCATCAGACGTGGATGCTGAAATGTTATTTTACCAGGTGATTCAACGTCATGTGTCGTCACGGTGATAATGAAAAATATTGGAGCTTGAAATCGGCCCTTACCCAAGGAAGCTGAAGGTTGCTTCTGCGAAGATACGAAAAGCATCTTACCGGCGTCTATCGAGTCTGATGCACTCGAAGTAGTCACTATAGAACTACTCGTTGGCATAAGCGTCACTGTCTTTGCACCTATACCTCCGGACATTTGCAGAGTCACTGGCTTACCAGACATCGTCACTGCCTCCTACAATTTGTGAATAAATTATATAATTGATTACAAATATACGTGTATAAAAATTATATATACACGTATTCTCCTTCTTCATATACTTACAGGAGTTTTTTGTATCTGCGGCACGGCAACAATTTGACTCTTGCCAGGATTGAAGATAGCTTGCGGATTGCCCTTCGTAGCGATAGTCACTGTCTTTGGTACACCGCCCTGTCCTGGGACTGTGATAGTGATAGGTTTGCCGGCAGTTCCACCGCCCATCGCGCCCGAAGAGACGACGATCATCTTGACTCCTTGCTGATTCGTGACGTGATTCGTAGCAGACAATGGCAGAACGTTCACGGGTGTGGTTATGTTACCTCCTTGTCCCGCACCAGCCTGCGAGGTAGTCACAGCTTGCACAGCTCTAAGACTCGAGCCCGTAGTAACGACGATAATCTGATTGGATCTGCCTAGGCCACCATTGCCTCCTGGTTTGGTGATCATTATAGTCTGCTTGCCCGTGATGTTCTGTCCCTTGCTCATCGCGACTATGCTGGACGTCTTCATGGTCGTGAGTATCTTCGAGCCTGCCACCGTGTTGGGGTTCACCAGTCGCAGTATTGTCGGTCCCTGGTTGACAGGCTTCGCGCCGGTCGCCTGGACAGTCTTGCCAGGGATTAGGCTTACCTTGGGAACCGTGGTTACCATGCCCTGTCCGGTCTTGAAAAGATGCATGATCTGCTGACCAGAAATATTCTGACCAGGCTTCTGCAGGATGATCTGCTTGCTCTGTTGCGGCGAAGTGGCGCGCAACACCGTAGCGCCCGGCGCGGCGAAGCGTATCTGTTGACCCGGCTGAACGTTCTTCATCCTGATGGTATTGGTCGCGGTCGCGGCTCCAGTCTGTGGCAGAATAACGTTGTTCATGGTGATCTTGGGAGTAGCGGCTGCCGCAGCGGCTAGAGCAGCTATTCCGGACATCGCGGCCGCTGGTGTCTGGCCCGAGGCCACAGTCGTGGTCGCGGTAGTCGCAATAGTCTGCTGTTGCTGCGGCTGTTGCTGCTGCTCGGTGGTGACCACCGCCACCGCTGACGCTGCTGCGACCGTGGAAGTTACCAGAGGAGAACGAATACGTATGACGTTGCCGGTCACGACTCTCGGAGTCAAGGGACTAGCCGGCTTCTGCACCACCTGCGATGGCACCACCTTCTGTACGGGACTCTGGGCGGTGGACTGGACTCGCAACGGAGTCGCCACCGTCGACGTGACTGTTGATCTAGAGGCAGTGGCAGCTGCAACAGGCGGGATGGTCGCGGGAAGAACGGCTACCGTGGTTACAGGTGGAGACGTGACCGGGACGGTGGTGGGAGTCGCCACCATCGCGGGAGTCGTCACCGCTGCTGCAGTAGGAGAAGTGCTAACAATAGGAGCGACAGGAGTCGGCGCGCTGACAGGTGGAAAGGCGCCGGGGGTCGCTGGCGGCATGTCGTACTTCTGTATCTGAAGGATGTAGTATTGCGCGGAGGAGCTCGCGGTCCAACTGACTTCCAACGTCTGCGTGGAAGCCCTGACCAGTTGAACCCTGGAAGGCGGCGCTGGTTTACTAACCTCAAGATACCACAGATCCTTGCAGCAAACCTAGAAGAAGCACCGAGGGAAGCTCTCGTTAATATAAGAGATACTCTATTAGATCGAGAATCGTGTAACCAAGACTGACCCTGACCTGGTTGTTCCAAGCTTTGCGGTAGCCGTCTCTACCGGACCATACGTAGAGCCTGCTGTGGACGCCAACTGCGCAGTGGCCGGCGCGAGCGCGTGGAACATTTTCTTCCAGAGAATCCACAGTTAATTGTTCCCAAGTTAAAGTTTCTGAAATGACAATATTTCATTTGAATGTGACAAAACGATGCAAACAAAGTTGACAAAAAATAAGACGTTCCGATAAATAATCTTCTTTTCGAAGAGTAACTTGAAGCTTATCAAACTGATTATCAGAAAACTGATAAAATTATATTGATCTATACTTCTATATACTAATTGTATTCCATGTGCACTTCAACAATTCCAAATTCCCTTAAATATTTCCATTCTTCTCAATTATATCGGTTAGATTTATGGAATCACAAATGAGTTACAAAGGTGTAGTCAAATTTTTCTAAGAATTCCAAATTTCTTTTAAAATTCAGATAAAATAAAAAAATGTACATCGATGCAGACATTTTTAAAATAAATTTCTTTCTTATATGCGTTTTTTAATGTTTTCTATTTATATCATATATAAAGAAAGTTATCTAAAATGTAGTCTTTCTAGTATTTAATTGATTTGTTAATCATAACGTTAATTTGAATAATATAATATATGAATAATATAAAATATAACAAAGTGCAATATTCACTATATATAAATGCTAAAGATATATACAAAAATATAAAATAAAAATATAAAAAAATATATAACGTCTTAAGAATTCTATAATTTATTTATTATTTATATTATTTATTTATATATATTATTTATTATTAAAATAATAAACTTTCGATGAATGTAAATAAGACCTTGATATTAAAAAGAAATCATCAATAAAAAATCATGAGATTTTAATAAAAGCTTAAATTATCCGCAAAGATATATTAGACATGTTTTTGAAATACAAAAGTATCAGACAAAATTAAAAAAAAAATCCCTAACAATCCTCAGTTTTTCCAGAGAGTAAACACCCTGGATAACAAAAATATTTGGAAGTTTACATAGTATCATTAATACAGGCTATTGTACAGTATTTAAAGTGTACAATGAATGAGCAAAAAGGAGAAATTCTCGAATGTAGCTCACCTAGATTCAAGCAAGCTAATGTGCTCGTGCACTTCCATTCTTTCTCATGCGTCGCGACTTTAACGTCATCGACGACCAGCGGCACCCATCCACCAAATACATACATACGATGACCAATCAAAGTGGCAGTATGTAATGATCGCGGTAAAGGAGTAGGTCCGTGGACTATCGGTTTGTTCCATGTCATCGAGTCAACGTCAAGAAACCACAGATCACCTAAACGACAACCGCTCATTCCACCGTAGATCACCAGACAGGATTTGCCTGTCGTACGATCGGTGTAAGCGACTCCTGTATGAGATTCTCTGGGCGGTGGCGCGTGTCCATGAGTCTGAGGAACCTCCCAGGCCGTCTGGCCGTTCGGGAGTAGCTCTAGAATGTACAAATCGTTCAGATATCTCGGTATATTGTTCTTCGGATCGTCGCTGTCGTTCGCCAGACCGCCGAAGAGAAAGACCCTGTTGCCGATGAGGGTGAAACTGTGTCCCAGACGTGGACACGGCGGTGGCTCGTGCTTAGGCGGCTTCGGCTTCAAACGTTTCCATTCCCATCGACTCGCTTGGAGCTCGTACAGCTCGTTCGAGTACTTGCCGTACTCCACCATCCCACCGAACACCAGGATGCGCGTCCCGTCGACGACGAAGCCGTACGCCGCACATCCCGGTGGGATATCTCCCTTCGTAGACGGCACGAACCATTGGTTTGTTGCTGCAAAAGTGAATCTTGTGTTAATATTGTAACGCAAAATTATATTTATAAAATATTTATCCGCACAAACATACATATTTATATTATACATATATATTATATAGACTTATTAATCTATACTATATATTATTATTAATATAGGGAGATATATATATAATATATGTATTATATAGACATACATGATTCACAATATTTAACAAAATAATAAAATATTTATTTTTTTAATTTAAATATCTTTTTAATTTATATCAATAAAGTGTATTAATATTTAAGATTTAATTTATATTAATATTATAAAAAAGAAAATGATTGGTTTGTAATATTGTAAATATTTATTAAAATATTAAATTATATAATTTCAAAATAATTTTCTTATTTTCCGCAATATTAAGATAGATTAAATATTTCAAGTTTATTTTTTATAATATTGATTGAATAAAAATAAGAAATCCTTTTAAATATATGTACATATTTTTATAAATTTAAATAACAGATATAAGTACTTTCAAAAATAATTTATATAAAATATTAATTACAATATATATTTTTTTCAGTAATAGAATTTAATTTTATTATTTCAAGTAACTCTAATTATTAAAATAATTATAATTATTTCAAAACACAAATTTAAAATTAATTTATAAAAAACTTAATTATAATTTTAAAACATGACTAAATAGTTATAAAATGTACATATATTTTGTTTATTCTAAAATTAAATTAAGAAAGTTAGCTTATTGTGTTTCTCAAAAAATGCAAGAAAAACATTTCTATTGAAAAATTGTTAAATAATTAAACAATTAAAGGATTATTTCAAAATTTTTCATCTCTCAATTCTGTTGTAATTTTACACAAATATAAAAACTAAAACTTTTATTTATCTCAATTTCGTGGAACAAACAGTATTGTGCTTAGATCATTTTAAAATTAGCTAAAGATAAGAAAAAATATATAATTTCATATTAGATAAGATAAAGATAATTTTGTTTTAAATAAAAATCTAGATAAAAGATAAAATTATATAGCGATTTATCTAGATAATTTTTAAAACTGCTTATATGTATAAACACAGTTATAAAAAAATATAAATTATAAAAGGGATATAAAAATATATGTATCATACTTTTATTTATAAATTTTTATCGCTTACTGCTCAAGTTTTCTCATTTAAATACAATATATATAAAAGAAACTACTTTATCTCGTCTAAGATGCAGATATAGAAAATACGTGTTTTTATTCTCTATATAAAGATGACGCCAAAGTTTCATCCAGATAACACCATCAATATACTTTTATTTAAATAACAGCAAAAAAACAAATAAATCGAAGTATCGAAAGAAAAAATAAAAAAAAGGGGGGAGAAAAAGTGCGAGACGGAGAAATACGCCGACTAAGCATCTAAAAGAGAGCACAAGATCCATACGCATTCCGGCTGTTACCATGGCGAGGCCGAGCGCGAGGGCAAACATTTCGAAATTCCGGCTCGAAGTGCGCGCGGCTGCGCGCGCACGCGCAGTACCGTCCAATAATCTTGCGCGCGCACGCGCGTGATCTTGCGAGATATTTAATGGAGAGAATTTAATAATGGAAAAAATATTTCAAAATTACCACAAAAATTATTGAATGGCGAAGAATCCAAATATTCAATGGCCAAAAATCATTTCGAAGAAAACACATTAAAAAAGAAAGGACGCGCGCGCGCGAGAGAGATAAAGAAGGAAAGAGCCGGAGAAAGAGCGAAGAATGACGGGAAACGCGCGTACGATGATGCACCTGGTGGGGGGAGGAGCGAGGGGGCGTTGGAGACAGCAATGGCCGCTCCCGCGTATAAACACGATAGAATGACAGATCGCGGCCGATTGCTCGGCATCGGGGGCGCCGGACGAGGCCCTAGGAGGCGGCGGATCGTGGGGACGACCGGACTCCCGGGCTCCGAGCGTCCCCGGGTCCCGTCCGAGCCGGCCTCCTCGGCGGATCCGGCCGGTCACTGTCTTGTCAACGTATGCCGCCATATTGGTTCGCGGGAATCGGCTAGGGAACGAAAAAGGGACGCACATTTCGGATGACGATGACGGCCGAGCGAGACTCACCCGTGTTGTATACGTGCAGCTCGTCGACGATACCCTCGTTTCCGCCGCCGAAGACCACCATGAGGTCCTTGATCGCGACCGCCCGGTGGCCGTGCCTGGGTCTCGGCTGGGGCCCGGTCGGATTCGCGATCCGCTTCCACTTTAGCATGGGTGCCGCCATGATGACCGTCGATCACATCATTTTTTCATGCCGCGCGCGAACCTGCTTCGCTCCTGACACCACTCGTGCCGAGCCTTATTAAAGGCCACGGTACAGCTTACGGCAAGTCGGACGGATTTAAGATCCCGCTTGTGTCACAGAAATTTCCTCGGTCCCGAAATGCCGCTCGATGACGACGACGATGATGATGATGGTGACGATGATGATGACGGTGATGATAATCGATGACGATAATGATGATAATAATAATACACAAAAAGGCCCGTTCTCACTTTTCCTTATACGATTCTAACCTCTCCGGTGGTTCACCGGGAGATTCCGCGTCCGCGAGAAATTCGAGGGAGCCGTTCAAAAGGACGATTCTCCGGATCCTGGCGAACTTGAGAACGCCGAGGGGGATCACTTCCCGGACGCGAGTACGAGGACGAGGTATCGCGGAGATTCGCCGCTGCGCGAGCTACGTGCGTGTGTATATGTGACCGCGCGAGTGCGTACGGGAAGAGAAACGACGCGCACACGGTGTATATCGGCGGCGTGCGCGCGCGCATGCGCGGAGTCACGTGGGCGCATGCGCGTATTTACGTGCGCGGCGCTTGACAGTCGCGGCTCGCGCGCGCAGTCTAGAGGGGCGACTCGGTGGCGCGCCGCGGCCCGGGCGTCGTCGTCGTCATCGTCGACGTCATATCTCGAAGACGATGGATATAGACTCCTCTATATCCTCGACTCTCTCGAAGATGTATTCGAGATATTAATCGGCGACGTAGAAAATATATATGAAAGAGCGCTGGCTCCGCGCTCCTTTTCCCCCTCTTCTTCTTTCTCCTACTTCTGCCTCTTCGTCGAGTCTCTGACGTTGAAAATCGCAGCGTTGAAAAGTAAATATATATACGAGGGAGATGTCACTATGGCACGATCCTGCGAAGCCGGGCGGGACGCGCGGAATTCCGCGACGCGGCGCGCTCGCGAGGACGGAGGTGCGCGACGACGGGCCCTCCTCGCCGAGGAGCGAGCTCTCGAGATCGGTCGTAAGCTTCTTCCGCGGAAATTTACGGCTGGTCGGTAGCTTGACGGCGCGCACGAGCGGCCTTCGGGAAACCTCTCGTCCACCGTTGCACAGAACTCGCGTCGGCAACAAGCGGTAACAAGCGTGTTGCCAACTGCTGCCGGGGACGCGGGGAATTTCGCGAGGGTCGATCTTCGAGAGGTCGATGATCGATCGATTGCTTTCTTCTTTTTAGAAGCCCTGCGCGCAAGAAAATATTATTGGCGGATAGGTATTTGTAAAATTCTTCATGTCCAAATTCATTTGGAAAAGGGAAAACATTTATTCAAAAAGGAATTTTTTAAATGGGTTTCTCGAAAATAAAAATAATTTTGTGTTACATTTAATTTTTTAAATATTTTTAATATTTATTTATATTTAAAATTCTTGTCTCTCTCTTTTAACTGGCAGAGTTCTTAAACAGATTCCTTTGCACAGGTTCAAATAATAATACATCGGACATATATTACAATCAATTTCTTATTGTATCCATATGATAGGAATTGATAAGATTTTATTTATAAACATGCTTCTTTACACAAACATTTCTATTTTTTATAAATTGTTGGAAAATGAGATGTACATCTCTGATAATTGATAGACTAAATTTTGTATTATTTTATCCTATATTAACAATATCTAAGTCACTTATTCAAATTAATGTTAAATTGAAATAGAAAGAATACAAGTATAAAATGTCATTGTTTATTAATCTCAATATTTCAAAACAAATTAAAAATGTAATTTCTATCTATATTTCACAAAATGACAAAGTACAACCTTTTTCTTTTTTTACTTTTTTTCATTTTTATATAATATATTAATTTTTTTAGACTTATTTCAAATTAATAAATTATCTTGTATTCTTAAAATCAGATGCATCTTTAGATAATTTGAAACAAGTGACATATATTACAATTAATCAAATAAAAATTGACAATGCTTATCTATTGCAAAAATATATCTATATATAATAAAAAATTATTACTTACAAGATTGATAGCATAATAACAATATAAATAGAATTTTAACGTTCCTTGCCTATCAAAGCAACTTCACATATCTTGCATACTGTATCTTTAAATTGTGGATTATAGCTGGCACCGCATAATGGACACTTCACTTCTGGCTTTCCTTTGTAAATAGGTGTGAATGTGCTTGCGCACAATGAGAATGGATTGTGCTCATCGTATACTAATTTATGCTCATCGACAGGAATCTTATCGCAAGACTGAAAAATAAATTTTTTATTTACAAATATATCAATAAATATAATATAAATATATAATATAATATTATATAAATATCAATATTATATATTTACATAAATATCGATTTACAATAAAAAGAAAAATACCTGTAATAAAACTCGTATTTTTTGCGCCAGTTCAGGATTTGGTCCGAGTTCGAGTAATCTTCTCGCGAACGAAGCAGCGGTTTTGTAATTCTTCAATTTGTAGAACAGATTCACAGCTACTTGAAGCGTGAGAATCTGATGTACAGGTTGCAGATTGCAATGTGTAAAGTACGCCGCCATTTCGCAAATTCTCTTCTGTTCGGCCAACGTGGCTCTGGGTAGACTTTTACGTTCAGTTTCCATCTTCAAACCTAAGATATACTCGCGACAGATTTGAATCAGCTGTTGAGCCTCCGCGATGTCCTGTTTGGTATCAACGACGAGCAACGGTACGCTCAGCAAGATCCCCTGCAGCTTCTCTATCGCTTTGGCAAACTTGCCGTTAGTCGTCAATTGGTAGCACATCTGAAGACGCTGAACCAGTTCGCTAAGATGCAAACCCACCGCAGGTAGACCAGTTTTCGACGTGGCATCCTTCCAGTTGGTATCCTTCCAGTTCCTCTGCGGATATCCGTACAAGGACGGTACATTTGGCAGACAGGCGTAGGACGTTCTGGAGCGAGCGTACGTATTTAAGAACAAAGACTGATAAGGTCCGAATTCCACCACTCCGACCTGGTTGTTCAGTATCCGAAAAGCGGACTCGAACGAGCCGGCCAATATGTGATCGATCGCCAGTTTGGAGTTGGTGACCCAGTGCTGCGTCGGTGGAACTCCTTTGGTAGGCGGAGAATAATAACCATCCTCGTTGGAGGTCGTCGCGGCCTCGAGTTCCGGCGGAAGATCGACGTCCTCGACGTCCCAGCCGGGATTCTCCTCGCCTTCCGGCGCAATTTCCGCGTCCACAAGCTCCTCGTCATCTATACCGAGTTCTTCGTCGTTGCCCCAGCCTTCGGGCGTCGCTGCGCCGTCGTCTTCCAGAGCTAGAGCGGCTGCCACCTGAGTTCTGCTGCGAGACATCATCGCGCCCTCGAAGAAACCTTTAGAAACCGTCAGCAGCGGCCAGTTGTTTTCAGCTTGTTGAATGGGAACGGGTGGACGAAGGTATATAGCGCCCTTCTCCAGGGCAGAAAGTTCCTCGCTCATCGATTCGTACTGAGCATCGTCCTCCTCGTTTGATATACCGTGAATTTTCTCGGTCACGTACGCCAACGACGCTTGTCCAGAGTTCTACAAAGAAATGGAAATTAATATATATAAATTGATGAAATAATATGTGAAGGAATATCTAACAAATCTGTGCAAAAAATATATATACATATAATATATATTAAATTTTTATTATATATAAAATTTAAATTAATTAACTTAAATAATTTAACTCAATTTTTATTTTTTTAAAATTAATATTAAAAAATATAATGTATATACGTTATTCTTATTCAGCTATAAAAATTTTAAATAAATAAAAAAACAAATAAAAGTATTAACTATGAAATAGACAGATATATGTACCCGCAAAATCTTAGCTCGCTCGTAAATATCGCCAAGCAGCAAACTTCCTTGATACTGTCCCGATACATCTTTCCGAATTTCCGCAATTTTGATCATCTTACGCAGCTTCTCTAGATTACCGGTTATGAGATAAAGGAAGGCCAACTTCTCAAAGTTCTTTGTCCTCTGATAACACATTTCCACGACTTGATGATTGCCTTGCAGCAAAGCGGTTTGGGCCAAGCTCTCCCAGCACGCTTTCTGATCGAGCGATCTCGCTGCTTCCAAGGCTACCTCGATGTTACCGCATTCAAGCGCGAGACCGAATCTGGTCTTCTCGTCCTTGACGAAGTGAAGCGCCACTTCCGGATACCCCTTCTGCTGCAGGTACGCTATAATCGACTGTCCAACGAGATTCGCGGTGCGAACCATGTGCAAGACCTCCTCATACTTCCTGTTGATCAGAGCCAGCTTGAATTTATATTCCGTCGGGTCTATCCGAAATATCTTGGATCTGCATTCTCGGTCCAAACAGAAAACTTGATTCCCCTTCACTCTTGTAATGTAAATCGGCAGATCCAGCGTGCGAATGATTCCGTAATCGCCGTTGCTGATCGCGTATTTGATATGGTTGCTTGTCGTGTAGATGAACACACCGGAGTCGTCCCAGCCACCGGACTTCACCCTCGTGTTCTCGTGCACGGAACAGAGAGACTCCAATCGACGATTGCAAATGTTCACGGTGTGCTTGGCCAGCAAGGCGACATGGGACATGTCGCTGGACCAAACGACGTATCTGCACTTTGCGATTTTTACCTCTGCCAATGTTCTTTTTTGCTGAACGTCGAACAGAATTATCTGTTCTGAGTCGCGCAAGAGTAACATGCCAGTGCCGGCGTAAAATATTTCGTCGCAGTTTGGAATCTGTACCTTCTTTGTCACCTCGTTCTTCAGATTCTTGACGACCAGCTGGAAAAAATTATATCATTTGAAAATGTACATTTCATAAGAATAAGTAAAATTTAAACGAAATAATTAGAGACTTGAAAATTAATCATTGTAAAACTTGATTTACCGAATACGCTCTATCCAACACAGCAAAACGATTCCTGGCAACCCAGATAGCGGTGACCCCAGACGCCCGTTTGGTATCAGCATCCGTGCTGGAATCTCCTTCGCGCGGAATCATGTACAAATCGTAAGTGCTGTTCTCGATGTTCGAGGGCGACCTCGTGCACACCAGAACGCTGTTCTCCGCCTGATTGTACGACAGACTGTAGGGAGGCGTTTTTCCTCCGCCGCGTATCTGCATTACAGACGTATCCTTGGACGTGGTGAAGTCCAGCTTCCGAAGGAAACGATCCTTGACGTAATACAGAAAATTTCCGTAAACCGCGTACGCGGGACGTTCCCTCTCGAGTTTGAAAATTATCATTCCGGAATCATGACCGGCAGCAAAGAGGTTCAAGGTCGGATGAGCCGCAAGAACCCAGAATCTCTCGTGCTCACGTCTAAACGTATGCAAACACGTGCGCTTCGTCATGTCCCAGACTCTGATGCTTTTATCCTCCGAATTGGAAAGAATGAGATCCTGTCGGGGATGAAACAGCACGCAGGATACGTTGTTGTAATGACCGCGACACGTGTCCACTTCCCAGGCCTTGGCGTCATTCATCCGCCACATCTTGATCTGTCTATCATCGGCTCCGGAGACAATCAGAGGCAACGTACCGTGGAAACATGCCCAATTTACACCTCTATCGTGACCTTCGAGGACGTACTTCACTACTGCGTCAGCCTGGCCGAATAAATCGGTCGCTCCCGGATTCTTCAGGTGATCCTCGAGACCTCCTGGACCTGGCGCCACATTTTTCTTGCGTAATCCTGAAATTGCAGCCAGTTATTAAAACACTTTTCTTTGCCATTACGTAATTCTGAAAGCATATCACATTGTATAATGCTTATTAAATTTTTTATTATACATAAAGTTTAATCAATTCTGTAATTTATTATTTTTTAAAATTAATATTAAATCATTTAATATTATTAATATATTAATTTATTACATTTTTGATTTTGACAAAATATTCTAAACCTTTAATGCACACATACACCTAATGTGTTTGTGCGGAAAAACTAATAGAATTATATATAATAAATATATACATATAAAAATATGATAAATATAAAGTAATTTTTTTGCACCAGAAATATCCCAAACGCGGACTGTTTGATCCAATGAAGCGGATACGATAAGATCTTCGGTAGGATGAAATTGGGCGCACATCACGTAGTGATTGTGCCCGGTCAACACGCAAATGCACGTGCGACTTTGCCAGTTCCAGATTCGAATGGTCTGATCGTCCGAAGCGCTGAGAATCCAGGGATATTCTTGGTGAAATACAGTGGTCCTGATGTAATCCAGATGACCGAGCAAGGTGAAGATACATCTACGTTGCTTGTAGTTCCAAACCTTGATCTTGTAATCGTCGCCCCCGGAAACGAACAGCGGCTGCTGGTTGTGGAAACATATGCCACGTACGGGTCCGTCGTGCTCGTCGAATTTGTCGAGCAAGGTGCACATACGGTAGTCCCATAATTGGATGACGCCATTGTGCAAACTGAAATTTATTTGTAGAAAATTTATTAGCACAATATATTTTATTATTCATATATTATTAAACCATTTTTACATTATATATTTTCCATTAATGTATATACAATATACATTCAATGTATGTATACATATATATATTTTTTTTTAATTACATTAATATATACATTAACTGTAATATTATAAATAAAATAATAAAATATATTAATTTTATTAATATACATATTTTTATTATTTTATTTATTTTACAATCTATAAAAAATATATAAAAATTTCAATATTTTGCGAAATACAATATAAATATTTTATAAGATTCTAAAGAATGATAAGATAAATTTATTTATATATTTTTATTGGTAATTTAATTATTATATCTAAATTTTGATGTAAAATTTCTCGATTTTTTGCGTGTTACTTAACACCTGTAGTTTTTGTATATATAAATGTATATATAACTTATGAAAAAGTTGCGTATATCGGTGCGTAATAATACTGTCCCTTTCAATCATTATAAGCAATATCAGAAATTTTACGAGAAAGGTCTGGATTGCGAAAACCGGCGATTTTTTGTCTGAGTGGTTACAAAATGAAGCATAAATATAGAGGTCATTCGGAAACTGGATTTCGGGCCTACACCTCTATACAGGGTGTCCCGATTGTCACAATAAAACGATAATAATACGAATTTAAAAATAAATATTATTAAATGAATTTAATTTAATTATCTCTAAAGTGAATACATATTTTTAAATGAACTATTTAATGAAGTCTATAATTAACTTTTTAAAGTGAAATTTAATGGTTCTTGTGGAATTGCACTTTTAACCACCTTATATATTTTATTACTATTCTCCTCAGAAAAAGGCGTGGTACACATTACTTAATCTGAGTACCGCGAAAGAACGCATAATTGCTTTTTGGCTCGAGATCTCCTATACCGGTAATTTTACTTTAAAATACGCATGAATATTAATTAACTATTGTGACAAACCGCTTACTCATACATATCTAATAAATAGATCGAGCGTGATTGCCAAATATGTTATTAGTTCAATGTTATTAAATCGTCTTACGAAAATCGAGTTACGGAATGATTAATTACTGCTTGTAATATTTTATTACTCCAAAAATAATTTACGTAATAATGAAATCATATTATTATAATTACAAGAAAAAATACAAGAAAAAAATGTGGCGTTCAGTTGCAAATTGTTTATACATATTACATATATTCACAATAATATTTATAGCAAGCTTGAAATTGAATATAATAATATTTATTATATAGTTTTTAAAACAACTATTTTTTAATACCAATTGATTTTTCTTATTATTTTGTATGTAAAAATATTCATGTAAGATCCATATTAAATATTTTATAATTTAAAATTATGTCATTAAACTACAAAATATCTCGTAAACTATACATTTTTTACCTGTCCTGTTCTTACAACTTGTTATGCTAAATATTGCGAGAAATTGATTGATATAAAAAAAAATTAGAGTGATTCCATTAAAAAAAAACTTGACCATGAAAAGTAGCCTTGATTAAAATTCAAGATTATCAACTTATTTCCTCCTCGAAATCTTTTAACTTTTGTATGAAATATTTTCTCATTAGAGCTACAATTTAATCAACAATATATGACTATATCAATTAAAATAGAGAACACCCCCTTATTAAAATATCTTTATATATATATATATATATATATATATATATATATATATATATATAAAATTTAATATACGTTAATAAAAATATTTTTAAGATAATATAAACATGTATGATAAAGATTAATTCATCCTTTTAAATTAGACGATTTATCTTCACTGTGATGCATCAAGATAAAATCACGTGATAAAACTAGCCAAAATTCAATCTACATATGCTACATAAGTTTGACGAATCTGATGAGATACAAACCAATACAGACTCCGCATATCCCCTCAGGACATTTCTGCGGAATCAGGTCGTCAGAAGCGGAGGTGTACTCGAAAGAAAGGGAGAGTGTGGTAGGGGCGTGAAATGTACTGTGTATATAGAGATCACATCATTATGCATTCTGGTAGTTCGTTCCCTAAATGTATTAAGTTCACATCCCTTTGTCGACAATGACGCTCCCACAGTTCTTTTGCACTATTATTGTAAGTATGCAATCTTGCATTTAAATAAAAACAAATTCTTAAAATATTCAAAATCTTTACTTTAATCCATTTTTTAATTAAAATCCAAAATATTAATTTTTCGCATATATTATTTATCATATAATTCAACCATTAAAATCACTGCTAAATTGTGTAATAAATAATATTTACGTCAAAATCATATGGTTTATTTTTTTTTAGCTCTTTATAGGTATAACATCAGTGAAAACGTACTCTGTTTCATACCAGAACATTCCCTTGGCATTTTCTAATACTCCAAGACTAATATACACAGAATCTGAATCTAATCCTGCCTTCAGTGGATACTCTTATGCAACTCAGGATTTAAATGGTGGCGAAAGTAATGTTATTTTTACAACTGGTGCTGATTCTTTGAGCAGGTTGCAACATGAAATGGATTCCATGAAGCCGTCAGAAGGATATTCAGAGAAAAATATGTTAGAGAAAAGAGTGAATTCAGTGTCTTCGGAACAACAATCTAAATCTGAAAAAGCAAGTATGACTGAACAAGAAAATTTTAATTCCAGTGTTGAAAATTCCAGAAAAGGGAAGAAACTGTCAAAAAGTTTTGAAGCGGATAATAATTTCGTCGAATATCAAGCACCTCTTCAGCAAATCTCCTTTGTGCCTTATTCTACATTAAGGGCAAATTTACTGAACTTTCCAACTGTGCTTCCAAGATATCACGTATCACCAGATGCAGTACAGAATTATTATCTTCACAATCCGTATTCCCAATTAAAATTACCTTTGCATAATTTTAATCTCTACAATCCTATTGTGCCACTATTTTATCAAGCAACCACGAATCCTAATAGTAGCATCAGATATCAGACATCAATAGCTGCTCAAAATTCAAAAATATCTCTGGAATCAAACAATACTAAAAGCTCAGAAATTAATAGCACTATTTCTGAGTCCAGTTCTACAGAATCCAATATAATAGAATCAAGATCTGATCTGGGATCAATGGAAGATGCAGCTGATAAAACATCAAATAAATCTGATATCTCTGCAGACAAACTGGAATTGGTGACTAAAAAAGTGGAGGAAGAAATTACTAGTAGTAAATCTGTAAAGTCTGCAGTAACAGAGACTTTTGATGAACAAACTATAGAGGATAAAACAAACACTACTGAACTTGCAAATACAGAAACAAGTACTTCGAAGGAGAAATCAACTACTGTATCATCTCAAAGACGTATATCAATATATCAATAATTAAAATATACTTTATATATATTCTACTTTCTATCAATCGTATAAATAATAATAGGATTTTTAATAAAATGTAGCAAAGCTTACTGCAATTTTATACATATTGCTTGAATTTTATATTAAAATAAAAATCGTTTAACATTTGCATAAATTCGAAAATTCTTATTTTAATATAATATCGTAAAATAATTTCTAATTAAAGGTAATCTCGTTCTTATAAAATTATTTAGTGTTTATATTCGAATTAATTAAAATTAATAGAATAAAAAGCACTGTGCTGTAAATGAAAGGTTATGTCTATGTCAAAATATGCAATCAAATATATTCAAAAATATTCGCCGAATAATTTTCGAACGTAGTGAATAATTTCAATAAAACATTTTTGCAAATAAATAAATTTTCGCAAACATTGAAATATCAGGAAATAATCAACAAATCAAATTCAGAAACGTCTGTCACTTTACCTCGCAAGCACCCAGGGACGTTTCGGGTGAAAGGACAGTCCTTTCACTCGCGCAGACTTCGTCTCGAATTTTGTTAACATCTTGTCTTGATTAATTTTTAATCTGCTAAACGCCGCGTAATTAATTAACCATCACCCTCTCGAAATTCTTTAAACTCTTCACCCGATGAGAGACACGTCACTATATCGCCACGAACTATGATGACAGATACGGAAACGTAGAGATGCAACTCGAAAGTGTCAAAAGTTGACACTTCAGTGAGATTTTATTATACATAAAATTCCTTAAAATCCCTAGTCAGAAAATAAATTCCCTAGAAATATCGGAGTGTTCGATTGGCTGTTGAACTTATGGTTTTTTTCTGGCCAATAACCAAAGAGTTTGAAACACATCTGTCAAATCGTAAATGGCGACTTCTGATTGGTTGACAGTTCTGCGCATGCGCCTTCGCGGAAGACACGTTTTGTCGTCTGTTCCGTCTAACCTTGGATGTCAATCTGCTAAATCAGCATCGTTTCAAATGAAACTACTTGCTGCAATTATGATCCAATTCGAGATAGAATAGATGTTCAGAGGACGTTTCTTCGAGTATTTTTGGAGAGTGTAAATTGGCCCTCTTTCCCTTCTTGTGCTTCCTACATTTTTTTTATAAACTTGTACAGTTGCGTCTCAACAGCCGGTGCGGTATAATGCGAGTGCCGACCAGCATTTTTTTCTTCAACTTGTTTATAATCGCCTCTATTTGCATGAACAACATCCAATGTGAGAGGGAAAAGCCGGACAAGGAGGAACGTAAAGCCCAAAAATTTCCTCCCTGCGCAGCATGTAAAATACTTACTAATAGTTTCAAAAAGGTAAACATCTTTTGCCTTATAACTTTACACAAAAGTACTTTTTTAACATAAATTATGTATTAAAATATGAATATAATTATTTAAATTAGACATTAAATTAATCTATTTAATTTTATAAATTTTTTATTTAAAAAATTTAAATTTAAGTTTATATTTTTTCATATATTTTATATATTAAAATTATATTATGTTAAATGTGTCAAAAATAAAAATAACAATTTAGATAAACAATTTTTAATTAATATAAAACCATGTGATTTATAAAATGATTTATAAAAATGATTTATAAAAATCATTTATAGGGTATAGAAAGAACGAGCCGTGGGAAGTTTGAAGGTGGAGATAGTGCTTGGGAAGAGGACAAGCTAGGTTCCTATTCAAAAAGCGAAATTCGACTGGTCGAGATACAGGAGAACTTGTGTAAAGAGCTCCAACATGGTGAGACGCAATGCCATACTTTAGCGGAGGAATTGGAGGGTCAGATAGAGGAATGGTGGTTTAAATATCAAGACACTTATCCGGATATACATGATTATATCTGCATTGAAAAGACGGAACGTTGTTGTCCAAAGGATCACTATGGTCCAAATTGTATGCCGTGTCCAGGATATCCAGATAAAATCTGTAGCAACAATGGCAAGTGCAAAGGAGCCGGTACGAGAAAAGGAAATGGCGGCTGCTTTTGTGACAAGGGATACATTTGGGATATCTGTTCGGAATGTGCTCCAGCATACTATGAATCTTATAAAGATGAAAAACTTTGTTGTGTTCTGCATGTCATACAGCCTGTGAGGGATCTTGTAGAGGTGCTGGACCGAAAGATTGTGAGAAATGTGCTAAGGGATGGTACATGGTTGAAGACAAAGGCTGCATTGATATAGATGAATGTTTAAAGAGCGACGAGACCTGTCCTGGCAATCAGTTTTGCATTAATAAGGATGGAAGCTATGCTTGTTTAGGTATGTGTATAAATTTTTAATAAATTGTATTATTTCTTTGAAATTTTTAATGATTAAAATTAGAAATTTAAAATCTTTTCAGCTTGTGATAAAGCTTGCAATGGTTGTACTGGTGATGGCCCAGACATGTGTATCAAATGTGCTGAAGGACACCATATAAAAGATAATATGTGTATAAGTAAGTACTACAAGTGAAATAAGACAGTGTATCTTGAATAGAACGATTTTCTAATTTATAATTTATGTTATTAGATTCAGATCTCCTTGGTCGCAAAAAACAAGAAAATCTGGCACGATATCTGACATACTTTGGACTCTGTGTGGCTATATGTATCATCTTGCAGCGCAATATTTATGTGGCAAGCATTATTGGCTTGTTAGTTGCAATATATATATCCGTTTCCGAATATATGATTGCACATAGCAATGTTCAGGATACAATGGCAAACATGGATATTTTAGGACCAGCTTAAATAGGAATGCAATTTTTAAACGAATTCTTCATGAAATCATTACTTTATGTTGCAATATAAGAAGTCATTATTCATATGTAAAATAGATCATATTTTGGACTTACAATTAATATATATTCATTGAAATGAATAACGAATATCTATTTATAAGTAGAAAAAGATGCAAAAATCTTTTTTACTTTTAAATATTTCCAATGACCTATTTTTACTATTTTATTATTAATAAAATAATTTTTATTAATCTATTTTTTGAAAAAAATTTAATGTATTTCTGATGCATATATTTATGATGTATATATATTTTTTTTCTCAATATTAATTATACTTATATTTTATGTAATTATATGATCTTTATTTTCATATGAAAATATTTTGAATATTATATATCATTTTAAAATATTATATATTTTTGTCTACCAAAGTTATTAGAATCAACTTCCTATTTAATATATTTTTATTATTTTATATTATAAAAATGTAAATGTAATATTTCAATGTAACATGATAAGAAAAATATTAAAGATATTTGAAATAAGTACATTACAAGATACACATACAATACATACAATTAATTAAAACATTTTTATGTTTAGAAAAATTTTAAACAATTTATTCTCGGACATACATTTGCCATGATAAAAATGATGTATAATTATTTTAACAAAAATATAAGGAGATTATCAATAATATCCTAAAATTTAATTAGACTCTGAAAACAAACAAAAAAAGAGAAACGACATACAAGTAAAAGTTTATATTAATATTCTGAAAAGTGGTATTGTATATATTTATATGTTCGATATACACGTATGGAGATACAATTCTATTTATATTTTATATTAATACGTTACATATAAAATAAATATTCAATAAGCAATTTATTATTCAATATAATTAGATTTATTTTTATGCTAATTGCTACATATTTGTCGAAGATCGAAATTACTTGTATGAGAAACTGCCGCTAGATGGCTACTCTAAGAAATAGTTTCTCGCTTTTAAATTTTGATAATTTTATATATATTCCACGTTTTAAGTGAAGGAATAAATATGTATAAGCACTCAATATATAGAGTACACATTTTTTTGCAGTAGAACTACAAAAACATCATACAATTCTAAAATTAATATACAGAGATATTTGTAATTAATGTGATAATATAGTAAATTATTTTCTGGGGTCTGGGGCGGTAAGTTAATTTTTTTTTTTAATTTTTATATTAATGGTTTTTTTAACATACACACACCCCCACACACACACACTATTCTACACCAGAGTTAGTTTTTTTCTAATTCGTCAATTATTTGAATATTTATTCTAAAAAAATTTCTCTTAATCGCAGAAAGGACCTAATACTTTTTGTTAGTATGTTCTGCAAAGAGAGTTCAATGATCTAAAAACTATCGGAGCTTTATTTGTCTGTACAGAATCGATGGAGCTATCAAGACATGACAGAAATATCCTATAATAAAAATATCAATAATTTATATATGGTCATATTTGTCTAACCGTTAATTCATTGTATATGAATATATGTTTAGATTTAGATACACAAATTTTAATTTTTGTACAGATTAAGATAGATGCAGAAACATATAAAATATTGTGCATTTTTTTTAATTTATTAAAATTTTATGATTGTTATAGAATAGTTTAATTAATATAAACATGCATAGTATTTTTATAAAACAAAAATCAAAAGTTATTTTATATCGTTAAGCTAGTTTATACACAGTGCATATTTTTTATTTTATAATTAATTTTACATAATTCTTTACAGTTTTCAGTAGATTTTACTACATAATTCTTTTTTATTTTTAAATAAATTTTTAAAAATAAGGTACAACACAAAAATTTAATAAATATTTAATTATTAATTATTTAAATATACATGATTATATGTATATGTAAAGTATGCTTAATATAATATTTATATTTAAATGCAAATAATATAATATCCTTTGTTTTAGAAAATTTCCCACATATATATGTGCACATTTGAACACATTGAATTGACGTACATGTTGAAAATTTCATAGAAGTACACAATAAAAACATAAATTCAATAGAAATACCATATTTCGACAATAGAGGGACAAACATTACAAACTTTCTCATAGTCAAAATATCATCAAATCTGCTATTAATACTTCCTCTGCAGTGCATAAAGTTTATACAACTTTAATATCCATAATACGTTTTTTTGGACGTTTTTGTAATCTTAGATTACCT